GATAGTTATGTATGTCACACTCACTTTAAGGATGTCCTTGTCCCGTCCGAGACGTAAGCTCTCCTCGGTCAATGCGGCCCTAGTACTTCACAGTATTTTTGAGAGATTATTTTATTAAAAATTCAAGAAATAATTTAGCAGAGTTGTCGTAAACACGTCTGACTGACCAGACATCCAGCGGGAGAGCATAATATGCGTGTATCTAAAGCCGAAAAAGATTTTTTTGTGCGGCAAAACTGATGCTAATTAAGTATGTCAAAATGTAAAAAAAACATATTTTTCTCCAATCGTCCACGTGATCCGGCTTTTTCAGTGAGTTGAACGAGTTGTCCCGGTTATTTTGTGGCGTTAAAATACCAATTTCGAGGTTCGTATTGCATATTTGCGTTATTTTTATCTGTTCCGCTCATAGCTACTTTATAACTTTTTAAAACAAGCTTGGATTGTGGTAATAATCAGCGTTTCTTTATGACATACTAGATTTTTAGGTTAGCTTCGTAGCATTTTTGTGTCGCGAGTGATATCGAACGTTACTAAGAGAGTTATGTAACACTCGGGACATATTTTAGGCAGAGTTTACATTCACGAGAGATTTTTAGATTTTTAGTTAATCAACTTTTTGCTTTATAAATACAATTTTTTTTTTTCGTAATAAATGATGAATTTTGACTGCTCTTGAGGTTTTTAACTGCACGAAAAATAACGGGCTAAAAATAACCTTCGTTTAATCTATAAAATATGTACCTACCTAAATAGGCAAAAACAAAATAGTTTAGTACCTTTTTCTTCTCTGTTGGTCAACTGATTTTCTTTTTTCTATTTTTGTTTTGTAGCTATATATACAATAGATTTTTTTCCTTTTTATTAGTTGACATAGATGTATTAACTGGTTTCTATTCGAACACCTAATCTAAAAGTATATTATTATCATAACATTGTATCATCGCGTGGTGAATGGGTATGCTATTTCATCTTTTCAGATGGCTCCGTTATCGGCCGCCGAGAAACAAAAGAGATATAGAGAACGTATGCGGCAGAGTAATCCTGAAAAGTTTTCTGAAGTTCTAAAAAAATGCAGACCGAAACAGGATGAATAGAGAAAAAATAAAAAAAGGGCTTGTAAAAGAAAAATTATCAAACAAAGACTTAAATGGAGAGAAAATAAGAGACAAGAAAGAAGAAAGAGAAAAGGAAATCCTGTCAATGAAAATTTGGATAGGCCTTGTGATAATCAACAGGAAAAATCCATTGACCTGAAAATAAAAAGAAAAAGAAAAAAATGTACAGAATGTGGATCGCCAAAAAAACTAAATATGAAGAAAGGATAAAACTACTAGGCAAAAAAATCGACAAACTTCGGAAGCAAAACAATCGATTGACCCAAAAAAATACCCAATTACAGAAACTTTTGCTAATGCAATCAGCAGAAAAAAACACAATACCAAAAATAAATCAAAATGTAACACCTCTATCCAATACATGCTCATAAGAAAAAGATAAAGTGAAAAGGGTTCTTTTGGAGCACAATATTTTGACAAATGTAACACATTTTCAAAAAAATGACAGAAATCGAAGTTGTGAAAAAATATAGGAAAAAGCGTAAATTGACATTCATACTGGGGTTAAAAGGAAGAGCACGGCGCAATAAAGCATATACAGATCGAAGATATAAAAAAATGGTGGAAGAAATACAGCAATTTTACGAAAGGACGATGTAAGTAGAGCGACGGCGGGAAAAAAAGAGGTAAAAACTACAGAAAATAAAAAGACAGAGAAGGTATTTACTCGAAATATTAAAAGATATCTATAAACAATACAAAAACGAAGGCGGTATAGCAAAATTCTCTTCATTCAAGAAACATAAGCCATTCTATGTGTTACGTCCAAAACTTTCTGATCGGGACACATGCGGATGGATAAAACATGAAAACTTCAAACTTATCAAGCTATATGCTTCAGGATTAATTGACACCATAAATCTCGACGAAATATTAACAAGAGTAGTGTGTGATCTTAACTCAAAGGAATGTGCCTATGGAGAGGGTGCCACATGCCGCAACGCCGATATTATTTTTGATTGGGATGCTCACAGTCGCGATGAGGTTGTTACTTGGGAAGAATTTGTACGTGAAAAACACGAATTTGTGGATAAAAGTGACGGAACAAACAAAAGTACCGAAAAAATTGTAAAAAAGGAATTAATAGCACAATGGTTGAACTAACGAATTTGTATAATAATGACCTAAACACATTCAAGAAACACGTATATAATATTAAAAATCAATATTCACAGTACTTAACTTGCATAAAAAATTTAATGACCATTTACATGAAGTTGCAGTGCATTTCCTAAAAAAAATTTTAAAAAAAAAAGGCGTGGGTCGGGCGTTGGCCCCACCCAGTTCTACCCTTTCTTTGATACGAGCATCCAGAAGCAATTTGGGCACATTTAGAGCCGGTATTAGCTTACGTTAGGACAGAATTTCCGAATGTTGTTGGGATTCACTTCTTTTCGGACGGCCCAACAAGCCAATATAAACAGAAAAAAAATGTTTTCTTATTTTCCAAAACTCACAAAAGAAAAAGGATTCCCTTACTCCTCCTGGAATTTTAGCGAGGCGTCGCATGGAAAAGGAGCGGCTGATGGAGTGGGTGCGGCAATAAAACGGCGCCTTGATAATGTTGTTTCACAAGGCGTTGACATACCAAATGCTGAAACGGCTTACGAAGTTTTGCAGAAATCGGATACTACAATACTAATCTTTTATATATCACAAGACGCTATTAAAACCTACTCTGTAAAAGAAAACCTGATACCGGTACCTCATACGATGTCTTTGCATCAAACTGTCAACAATACAGATTCATCAGAACTACAGAACAGTATCAAATTCCGATGCCTTAGTTGTTTTTGTTTCAATACAACTACAGAAACTTTTAAAGGTTTCTGCAATTGCTTAAATATCAAATCTCGTATGCTTTATAACAAACAAGAGCTTATGAATAATAAACGGAAAGGAGACAGTAACTCAGAAAAGAAACCACTTGAGAAAAAGATGAAAATAACAAATAAAGAACATGTCACTAATAAAAATAAAGTCACAATCCTATCCGACGTTACACTCTTACCTGAAAACCGAGGCTTTACGAATTTAACGAATTTTTTTGGAACAGAGCTAACAGCAATTTCAAAAAATTATGATTTATCAACAAGTAAACATAATAAAAGCACTATTAATATTTATGACAATCCAATTACATCAACGTCAAAGGAAGGTCTAAGGCAGATAAAAAAAAATTGAAAAGAAAAGAGCCTGCCTCTAATGATGATACTACAGACACTGACGATGAAATATTTTCCGTACACGATTCTTCGGACTACTGTGTTGACGATGACGAGCAACTTTTAGAAGAATTTGCGAGAGATTTTTATGACAATGAATCAGAAACAATGCAAAATATAATCGAAAACTAGAAAATACAAGATTAAGTACTGGACCAAATACAACAGGAAAGCGAAACGCGTACTATGAAAACCGAAAACAGAGTTCAAATTGAGGAAAACAGAATTATAACAGCAGAAAATAATACCATTGAAGAAGAAAACAAAACTAAGCAAACCGTGGATTTAGTTCAAATAAAATCAGAAAACAAGACCAAGAAAACGGAAAAATTAGTTGAAGTAGAAAACAGGATCACGGGAATCACATATACAGTACAAAGAACAGAAGAAAATAAGAAATGTAACAATATTCAAACTTAAAGGAGGAAAAGGGCCACTAATCTTTGATGAAAAAGAAACCGTTGAAATAGTTGAAAATAAAGGTGACAGTGTGATTGTTAAGTATTACAAAAAAATCTTGGAAGTTCTATGTAGGTTTTATTGAAAACATCGTAAATGAAGAGGTTGAGACATTTTATTGCATAATTTTTTTTTAAAAACTGTTAATAATCCATTTAAATTTGTAAAACCAAGTCGACAGAGATATTGTTCCTACATCAAATGTTGTTAAGAAAGTTGAGTTAACATTTAGTTCGAAAGAGTACTTCCTAAAAAATGAAAGTTGTGATAGAGTTTACTTTGTAAAGAAGAACTTATTGTGATTTGAAAGCTCTCAATGGGACTGAAAAACGAGCATATTTTAAAAACATAAACATATTAGTGTTTATTTTATGTAAAAAAAATTGTAAAATTTATTGTAATAGAATTTAGTTGATGGTACCCAATGTACGATTATTCAGTTTTCTTCTATGCCGATAAATTTTACTAATGCAAATAAGAATACATAATGTTCATCTTAAGATTTGATTGATAATTGTGCACCAGGCAGAATCGGCATAAAAGGCCACGCTCATAACAGACAACTAATAGTTTGTTTAGATTAATAGCATGATTTCAATCTTTTTTCTGTTATTAAAAATGCTTACCGTTAATTGAAGTCCTATTAGGTACGGCTTATTTTTTTATTACTTATTTGAGTACCTACTCGCTTAAAAAATAAATTGTTTTTAAACATTTCTTTTTTATCATTTCTAAATAACTATCGAAATTATATTTTACTTTATAAAACAGTGCAGAACGTGTCAAAAAAAAAAACGAATTCAACAACTTACATATTAAGTTGATGGCTGAATTAGTTTGTTACATTGTAGACCTGGCTTTAGGTGGGTCGCGAGCGTTACTGCGTTACCGTGTGTTACTAATTTGTTGATGTCTCAAGAGTTACTATGTACATAATTACACGGCCTTACCCTTATGTGCCTTAATAATAAAAAAAAATATGTTACACTACTTCATTAGTGCACAGATTTCACATGTCTGTGAGATTTATGGAACAACTCGTCAACCATTCTTTTTTAATATCTAAGGTAATTTTATTATCAGAATTATTTTTTGGATGTGTTAAAAGTTGGTCAAGGCAAATACTAAAATAACGATTTTTGAAGAACATTTATATTACATGATGAGTTGTAAGTATATATTAGAAATCTAGACTTACCAGAGTCCATCTCAGCAGGTTTCTTTCCAGAGTTCTTTTTGACATTAAAGTCATCGTCATCTTCGCTGCCTGATAAGACGCGAGGTTTCTCACTGTCTGATTCCAGCTTATTGTCATGAAGCTCTAATTCAGAATTTGAGTCAGAGTCATCGGACCCGTCCCTGTACTTTTGTACCTGTTAAAAATAAATTGATTTAAACATGAAGGAACAGAGAGATGAGAGAAATAGAATGCTAAATTAAATGGTTGATGTGATTATACGTCATACGGGAAAAGGGATAACAGGGGAGAGAAAACGAAGTTACATACAAGCATCATGGAACAAACAATATTTGAAAATATTTTGTTAATCTTATATTTCACTGTAGAAAATAAAAATACAAGAGTTCAGTGAAAATGGGCTTTATATCAAGCCTGAATCCCATATATCAGGGTAAATAAAATAAATAAATAAATATAACATCTAGTGGAGTAACAGGATCTCTTACTACTATCAATAATTGTTTTAATCAATTAGTAAGTAGTTTGAGCGAGTTAATGATTGACAGGTTTTCACTATAGCACTTTAGTTTTAGAGCTTGACCATGTCATAATTATTTTCAACAAATGCATAATGTATAGATATAGACAAATTTTTACATATTTTAATGAATAACTCACAGATGTTAAAAGATTTTTTAACATCTGTGAGTTATTCATTAAAACGAGCCAATTTAATAACACTAAGAGTAACAAAACAAGCTAACAATCCACCGGATTTTAAGTGCCCTCTTTAGCCAATGAATATTTGCAACAAAGTTGTGAAGTGTACAAAAACGAATCTAGTCTGTAGTCTTTTTAATTAATACTAACACTTGTGCACTCCAAAATCAGAACACAAGATTGTTCTATGTATTTTATGTAGAACTATTATATTTATTAACTGTGTTTTTTTCTTTCAATAGTATTGGATGACAAATGATACAAGCCACCTGATGGTAAGTGAATGTTGTGGCCAAGAGCATCCACATGTATCTTCAACTAAGGATCAAAATGCAAATGTGCTGTCACCCCTGAGAACTAAGACGGAATACCTCAATTCCAGTATAAAGGGTCACCGGTTCTCCACACTCACCATACAAAACACAGCAGCATTATGCTGCTATTTTGTGAGAACGTGGTCTTGCCCCGGTCGAGCTGACCCACTTGTTGTACAACTATAATATAGCTGTAATGTGGTTCTATCCAGTGGCGAAGCTAGGGCTCCAAACTAGGGCAAGCCCAAGATATGGTTTTGTTGTTTTTAGCAGTTTAATAGAAATACACCAATCTTGAGCTGTCTCCACTCTTTAGTTTCATATTTAGTGCTGACAAGGACGTATTTAACAAAGCACACAGAAAGCATACTACCGCTAGATAGATTGTATGACATAATATGCAATTGCACACCTTTGGTGGTTTTGAAAAGAGCCGTTTGGGTTTGCTTGAGATATTTACAAACAATACAATACATGAACAAAAGAAAAGCATGAACAAAGTACAAACAAACTATGTACAAAGATGTGAAACCCCGAAATTATATTTTGTTTAAGTTATATGCATAAAAGAACAGATTACGACAGGAATTAGATAGTTATAATGAGAAGATAAAGCTTTGCTAATTTTTTACCATAAAATAATGACTATTTATTATAATTATTATTATTCATTTTCAATTCAAAATAAACAGTACAAAATGATATTTTTAAACTCATATATCACTACAAATTAGCCGATAGCGTATTTGTGCCATCTAGCGTAATCTTTAGGTACCATCGTGAGAATCAACCAATTTTCGTTCGATAAAATGACTTTACCTATAGAATTAAGTAGATGGCGCCATTAAAATTTTATATACTGAAAAGTAGACAGAGAAACCTAACTGGAAATAACTAAAGGGAGTACTATTCTTTAAAAACCTCAATACATTATTCTGTATTCTTTTGATTTATTTAATTAAAATTTGGGCTTCACGTTAAAAAAAGATTGTAACACTTATTTACTCCAAAATTAAACCTAGGTCTCATACTTTATGCTGCTGTTCAAATTGATATTTTCAATTTGTATGGTAATTATAAATATTGAGTTATTAAACCTTTAAATACGCCTAACTTAATTAAACTTTAATACTAAAGAGTCCTGTACCTATATTTAAAGTATGAAGAAATGTTTATTGAATATTAAATTTCATTTTTAAAGATTTTTACCTTTTCCTCGCCGATTAGCACTTCAACACACTTATATTCATCACAATGAACACTATTATCCTCCCATTTTCACTGAAAATCCTCGAAAAAGCATAAATTTTTAACAAACACAACAAAAACAAACATAAACATTGAAATGTGTGAAAATTTTTAACAAACACAACAAAAACAAACATAAACATCGAAGTGAATTTGCACGCGAGGGGCCCGCAACCACTTCGCTAGTCGCTAACGCACTCCTAAACAACTTCATGGCAAAGCCAGGCTTGTTGGCTCAATAGTAATTGCTATATAAACATTTCGTAGTTATATTTCATTATAGAATATTTTGCCATAGGTTAGAAAGAGAGCGATCGTCTTTTCGAAAGCCCCGTAAAAAAGCCCACGCGAGCGAGGGAGACAACTAATCGCTCTATTAAAACTCACTTTATGACAGCAGCAGTATCGCCACAGAGTACCTTTGTATAAACGTATCGCTAACATTCTTTTCATTCAGCGCTGTCGGGCAGGGAAGTGAGCAGGGCAGTGGGCAGAGCAGTATGTAAACAGGCTACTCGCGCTGACACTGCCGCTGCCGCTGCTACTGCCCGACGATCCCTCAAATGTCGCTTTTTCGTGCGGAAGTCAAAGGACGGGCAGCGCGAGCGACAGTGAGTGTTCACATTCAGCTCCATCGCTCACTTCGCGCCAAGCGCCTGGATGAACGGACGTGCGTGCCGTCTTGTTATTAAATAAGTACGATCTACCAAAATGCCTTTCGAGTGGAATAATGAAAATACAATAAAGTTTTTAGAACTGCTGGAATCAGAAAAAACTATATGGGATTTCAACGATAAAAACCACAATTCATCATCTTCTACGAATACGAATTTTCTTTTTGAGATAACATAGTACCTATGTACATAATTAATTATAAATTCGTCAAATTATTTATATTAATATAAAATTTAGTTTAAGGAATTAATTAACATTGACATTTTATTTCTAAAAATGATTAGTAACTCATATTGATTATTTATTTATAAAAATGTAAAATAAGTTAAATGGTAATATTTGCATAATAGCCTGAGATTTTTAAATTATAATTTTATTGTAATTAAAATTATGAATTAATTTATACCGTAGTGTAATTATTAAAATAATGATAGCTTAACTAATCTTATATAATATTTAATATTATTTATGTAACAGTAATGTAATAATTCAATTAATAATTTATGAACAATTTACTATATAAGAATTCAAATAGAGTGGATCTGTATAGGTATTTAATTGTATATAATATTTGAATTCAAAAAGAATGTTTGTACCTAACTTTTAAGCAATGCGATAAAAAATGTAACATTGTGTTTGTATAATTAGCTGTATTTCATATCATTTTTGCAAGCCAATTATGGCAAAACATGTCAGTTCCACGTCATTGATCATCTTATGTACCATGTTTTTTAGCAAATAAATTTTCTATATATCTATCTTCTTTTAAACTTGATATCTTTTTAAATTATTAACATAATTTTGTATTGCAAGAAGACACAGCGCGGACGCTGTAATTATTTCGACGTCTGCCATAGTCGAAAGCTCGAAAGCCGAAAGTGATGTGAGTAGGGTAGGGCAGAGTGTAAATACACACTTCCCGCGATCCTGCTACGGCAGTATTTAGCGAAGTATTGCCGGCAGCGCGAGGAGCAGTGGCAGGGGCTGAATGTGAATGAGGCTTAAGGCAATACGAGGTCATCGGTCGACATGTGTCGAACAGTGGAGTGCGCGGGAAAATTGAAATAATTTGAAACAGTTTATAAGTTATTTTATTAGTTGATATTATTGATTGATATTATTGATTGATTCAGTTTTAATAAGGCAAGCCCGGCTTTTCGATTTTAATGGAAGCTTCGCCACTGGTTCTATCGTGCAATGTGGAGCAACCAAAATGCATTTTGTGTTTTTTTATAAGCTACTTTAACACGTATTTTAGTTGCAACATGAGCTCTTAGTTATGCTGTTCCAACTTTTACTGATTTATTCTGTTATGCGGATTAACCAATTGAATGTCTCTAATAAAATGTATATGCATGCACTTTCATCAATGGTTAGTGAACGTAAGTAGTGTTTCTACCAACTTAAAACATTTTCTGCGGATCTAAAAGGGTCAGACATTAACTGGAGAAAATATATTTTAATCGCAGACAGATTTTCTAATAAAAATGTTTGTAAATAATCCCAAATTTATTTTATCGTGCCAATTATATTAATAAAATATAAATGTAGTTCTTTTTTTTTTACATTGGAAGCAATGAATGTAATGGTGGGACTTTCGCGGCTGTCGTACTTTAGATGTTTATGTTACAGTTATTTACATTCTAAGAGTGTAACATTGTACAGTAAGCATATTATAATATATAAATAGTAGTTTGTTCCAGAGTCACTCAGAGTTCAGATTTAAAATTGGCCAAAATAAACAATTTTCATTTAATTTGAAAGTTATCACCATGGTCAAAATAAGGTATAAAATTGAATATTATGTAAATGAAAAGTGCATGATTTTAACTTATTTTTTGACTAGACTTTTGAAGTGCTTTTTAGTCCCCCTAGTCATTAGGCATGAGTCGGATATATCAAAACGAATCTAAAATCCGATTTCAAACACAAATCGATTCATATAGATTGCTCAAACTAGAAAATCCGATTTCAAAAATCGACCTAACTAGCTGAACTCTTACGATCTGTACAACCAAACCAATCCAAATCGAAAATAAAATCGACAGTATCCAAATCTAAACGCAAACTGTTGCGTAGAAATCCAAATCCGTTTTTTCAGTGTTTCTCTCGATGACGAAGTTTAAGATTCAGATTTCGGTTTGTCGGCTATGGAATATCGAAATCTATTACACATTGAGATATGTGATCAATATTATCCTTACGGCTTAGTACGTAAAGTCTATATTGGCTTTGCGAGATTATGTGTTGCTGAATTTTTGGTTCAGTGTGCGATCAATATCATTCTTATTGTTAACTCGTTTAAGGTTATATTTGCGAGATTGTGTGATGATTTATTTTTGTTTTTAGTTAAGTGTTTGCTTACTTAAAATAATTTTTTCTTTTCATGTTATGTTTTAGACTTTAGACGTAAATTTAATCCTAACAGTATTATATTATTTACTGATATTTATTTCCTTAATACCTTTTTGTTTAGTAAATATATGAAAATTTTTTTATAAAAACGTTTAAAAATCAGGAGTGAATTGTGTGTGAGTGTACGTTTTAAGTAAGTAAGTTATTAATCATAAAATAATTTATCCGCATTAGTCGGAAATATATCGCTCAAAATGCAATATTGTCGCGACATCCGTTCCGTGCGAACGAATTTTTTCAAATACGGGATTAATAATAAATGAAAAGAGGTGTCGTCTAAAGTCGTCAAAAGTGGAGCAAATTGCGTTTTTAAACGCAAATCTTAATCCAAACAGATTCTGAAATAAAAAAATAAAAAAACGAAAAGAAACCAAAAAAAAAATATAATAAGAAATCATTATAAATATACCGATTATTAAATGCGCCGGAAAAGTTCTAATTTCATGCAAAATTTTTCTGCTAGTCCTAAGCCTAGATTAAAGCATGAAGGATAATCTCGCAAATCTGTTTCTGTATTAGTTAGATTTGCGTCTGTCGTTTTGTTAACTTATAAAACGAAATCTAAGTACGGAAACGAATTGGCGTGGCTAAGCGATACTGAAATCGGATTTTTAAAAACGGATTTTGAAATCTGAAATCGGATAAATATCGGTTTGCGTTCAAATCCAAAAACGCCTATGCCTACTAGTCATGGAAGGCAATATTCTTTAATTAGTGGTAAGAAAATCTGCATTAAATGTGTATATACCTTAGTAGCCGCTCTCCTGGCGTTTGATCGTTCTCTTGGCGCTGGTGGTTCAACCATTTCCACATCGGACTCAGACATCTCGCCAGAGCTGCTGCCACTGAATGTCATCTTTTTCTGCGTAATCAGCAAATGTTTAAGGTTAATACTAAGGACATTATAACTTTAATAAAACAACATTTCAGAGGCTGCATAGAGTAACTTAAGTAGTCTAACTGGAGATGTGTGTTCACGTATATTGGCAACATATACATATTTATACTCAGCCGAAAAAGTCCGTATAGTTGATAAGTACTAAGTAGAAAAATAATATTAATATTAATATAGGGATCTCCGGATTGAATGGATCAGTGTGCTGAAGTGGCAACGGGCCAGCTTATGGTACCTAAGGATAACAGATGGGGAATAAGGGTTCGCGAGTGGTATCTTATACTAAAAATTGAGATTTTTTTTTTAATAGAAATAAGGTTGACAAATGTGCACACAGACCACTGACACAGATGGTAAGTGGATGCTGTAGGCCATAGACACCTGCATCTACGTTAGATTTGAATCACAATGCAGATGCATGTCATCACTGAGGATTAAAATGGAATGCCTTGTTATCAATGGGATCTCTGATTTTAATAACTTACCCTAAAATATGCATTTGCCAAGTATTATGCTACTATTTCATGATTGTATTCTCTGCAAGTTTGGTCTTTCATAATGTGAGCCAACTCATTTGCGCTGTAGACATAATATGCTGCAGCAAGACTAACACATTGAACTTTTGGAAGGCCTATACAATGATATTTACGTGTAAGAGCTTGAAACAAGTATTTAATAAAGTATTAGTTGTTTCTGATGTAGCTAGCTAGTGGCTTTTGTGACTTACTCTAATTATGTGTGTGATGGGAGCGTGTTTGAAAATGTATTTGCACTTTGCAACTGTTCAGCAATGACGCTTTTATAGCTACTTAATACATATTATTTATTTGGTTTTACTAATTAATATTAACTCCCCAATTAAGGGCATAATACAAATTTACAATTGAATCTAAGTCAAGTTTAGAGTTAAAGAGTATTAATTAGTATTGTAGTACATTCAAAGTAATGTAGAATCTAGGTCAAGTTATGAATTAACGCTTTCAGTCAGTGTAAGCAACCAAATGACTCTTTAATCAATTGTTACAGTCCATCATACATTTTCACAGCTAAATATTGATCTACACATTGTCACAAAGCACATCTCATCAGGTCGTCAATCTATCTAGGAGTGGGTCGCAAAATTCGTAACATTACCTTTTTAGGTTCTTTCTTAAATGTGATTTTAGTCTGTTTAAGTCCATCCGTCTTTTCTGTCTTCTCCTTTTCAGGTTTCTCTTTCTTTACCCGTCCCTTTGGTTTCTTCTCGCCACTTGAAGGACTAATTCCTGTTGGATCATCCTGGGGAATTTCCAAACAAACACCTTAATTGTTACAATATTTGCGAAAAGATACTGCCTGTAGTACTTGTAAATAATTACATTAATCTTCTATAACATTTCTATTTTTTTTTTAATTTAATTACTTGCCATTGTAGAGAAATAAATTGTAAATCAGGATTGAATAGTAAAAAAGGTAATGTATTAAGGTACGAATATTTCAGGACTTAAGACTTAAGTAAAAAATAATTGCACGTAAACCTAATCCTTCTGACAACATTTCTTAGATATCTGAATATAATAAAGTTACATATTAACGCAACAAGCTTTGTTTTTTTTTTATCTCTGAGACTAAATTGACACATGCAAATGTCAGATATACAAAAATAATGTTCCCAGGGCTTTTGTGAAGTGTTGTACCTACGATACTGGTTTGTTGAATCTATCTATATCTTTATTAGACGATTAGCTTCAAATTTTTCTATTCCAAAGAGTATCATTAAAATTTATGTACGTACACATTCCGCACGACGCGCTATACACTAGCACTAAAAACTGACCACGCGACGCTTTGCGTGATCCATCCAATGGGAGACCCGTTTATACTGGAAGCGCGTCGTGGGGCCGGACATGTTTTAATACCTTTTGATTAAACAAAAAAAAATGACAGTACACGGTATAACGGCTATCTAAACCATTTTCTCTTACAAACCGGCAGAACTTTAAAAAAAATTCGGATTACTGGGACTTGACACCATACAAGCAACTACAATTTTAAAAATAATTATGATGATATGGCAGTTATTGTGTTTTACTTAAAAATGCGGCAATTTTAGATTTTGAATACAGCAACCCTAAATTTCACAGGAACAACACTGGCGCCATTTTTTTTAACCTTATTCGTCCTTCGACTCCTAAAATGTTCGAATGCGTCCTTTTTCTATCTTGAACTAATGTCAAGTGATATTTGTTATATTTTCGTTAAGTTTGTTTCTACTTTGTTATTTTCTGTGTTAAGTTTTGTTAAGTTTTTATTTTTACCTGCGACGAAACGAAGGTAGGTATATGCGCTTAGGGTGAGATGTTGTTTGTTTGTTTGTATGTGCAAACAAATGTTTCCATTTCTATCCAAAATCGATTTGGATATGATTTTCCGTATTCCAAATCCAATATGGCGGACTAAACTTCGATTTTTCATTCCGTCAGAATTCTGACACTTCATAAGTGCTGCTACTAAAAAAGTTCTCCACCGAAAAAGGGACAAATTTGACCCATTTTAGGGCAATAAAATGCTACATGTTTTTTATGTTTTACCCACAAAAAGGTAAATCTAAATATTTACTTACTCAAGTAACCTAACACAAAAATAACAAATTTCAATATCACGAACAATATATCGAATTAAATTTAATTACTTTATTTTATTATTTAGCAGGCATCACTGCCTACTAATTCCAGGTTTAGTAAACCTTTTTAAAAAATAAAATGTTAGCTGTCACATCGCGTCTGTCACATTGATTGATATTCATTCGACTTCTTTGAATGCTCGAACGCGCTCATGTGTTCTCGGTGTTTGCTGCTATTTGTTGTTATTATCTTGTTAAGTTTCTGTTATTCTAACAGAACTTTACAAGTTTTTTTGTTGACTTTTCGTGTTGTGATCGTTTGTTGATTTTTATAAACGTAATGGAGCCACAACCTGGCCCTACCCCCTACCTGGGAAGCAGCCCCACCTGACAGAACACAAGACTCAGTCTTTCTTTCTCCCTGAAAGAAGCGTCCTCGTGGTGCTTTTACGCTCAACGAAGACCATAATTTAAAATTAAAATTTGACGAATTTACTTTCGCCGCAATTCGACGAAAGCTTCACGCGTTTTTCTACAGGAACACGATTCCGACTATTGATAAAGTAAAGTTATTGCTAATTCTTTAACCCCTTGTTGCTGACATCACCCATAGTTTTTAAACTTAACCTGTGTTGCCAGTCTACATTTTAACTGTAATGTAAATGCTTTTCTCAGATTCACCAAGAGATAGCTGGTGATCCAGACATGCCTGTTATTTTGAAATCAGCATTAAGAAAAGTATTGAAGCATTTAAATTTTAAATACGCAAGTCGCAAACCTCGAAGTGCGCTATCAGATCGCAAGGAGATAGTACTATGGAGTCAAGAATACTTGCACCAAATTAAACAATATAGAAGAGAAGGCAGGTTTATATAATATTACCAGGATGAAACGTGGGTAAACGAAGGCAAGTATTGAATAATGTGGTGATTAACTTTTTATAACCTATTTTTTCTTCAATAGTCGGCAATCAAATTCTGTACTTATGTAACACTTAAATTAACTTTGTTAATAAATTTCTGTTGCCAAAACTAATAAATAAATACATATTTATAGGTAATATTTTTCAATTTATATACATATATAACTGTCCTCATGTGTAAGTGAAATATTAAATATATTTTTATTTTCTGGACATACCGTCAATAAACAACAGGGCTTAAGGCACCTACAGGCAAAGGGAGGCGATTTATAGTTAGCCATACAGGGAGCAAAGAAGGATTTTTGGAAGATAGCTTATTGGTTTTTGAGACAAAAAAAGGCTTGGCAGATTACAAGGAGATGACTGGGGAAGTATTTGAGGAGTGATTCACAAAAATACTTCTAAAATTAAAACCAAACTCGGTAGTAGTGCTGGATAATGCTCTATCTATTCGAGGAAGGTCGAAAAAGTACAAAATGCATGGAGAAAAGGCGATATCCAAGCGTGGTTGACTTCAGAAAATTTAAATTAAAAAAAAAGCTAAAAGTTAATTTATTGGAAATTGTGGGTCAGGAGAAATACAAATACCAACATTGTATTGTAGACGAGATGGCCGCAGGACAAGGCATCACTGTGCCTAGACTGCCCCCATATCATTGTGAACTCAACCCTATTGAATTGATGTGGGCTCAAAAGCGAAGGGGCATGTCGCAGGACACAACAAAAGTTTTAAAATGGCGGATGGTTAAAAACTATTACTGGAAAGTATAAGTAATGTTACTCCTGATAAATGGCAAGAATGTATCAGCCATACAATCAAAGAAGATAAGATGTGCACTCTCGACGATTTGATTGACACAGTCGCAGACTATTTAATAATTCATGTCAGTGATGAGGATGATGATGAAGATAGTAAATAGATAGACAACATAAGTATTAATGATGCTTAGAGATTTGGTTAAAAATATGTTATCTTTACTTGTGCGTTTTTTACTGTTTGTGATGAAAAGGGACGTAATTATTACTCGCCGTAAAACCACTTTTATGGGGAGCACCGCACTTAATAAAATGGATACATTCACTAACAAATAAAACGTATGTATAGACTCAGACGTTCAGACTCGTATTGAATTTGAAAAATGTGCCCTATCAAAAAGGTTTGTAATCTCTGACATGTCAAAAAATTATAGCTGTCAGAATGGAGAAGATAACAAGGTTACAATATTAGACTTTTAAGTACGTAGGTAAAAAGTCTAGACCAAACACATAATTCTAGTTTTTATTTCACATCGATCGGTGCACTATTACCGAAGTTATAAGCGTGGAAAGTTTACGTACATTTCTAAAATCTCGCCCGTGCCCGCGAGTAGCGCGTGACGTCATTCGTTCCATGCGGCCGCGCCGCCATACCGTTCCAGCGCGCCGATCATACGTTTGTAGTAATATTTCGCGGGTGAGTTATTTGTCCTCGTTCGCTCTGGTGTTTTTAAGTATTTAATTATGGAAGAAGGGTTTCAAAAGGGTCAATCTGACAACCTTCCAATAGTCCGTGACATGATGGTGGCGGAATATTTTCTAAGAAACAAAGATTTTGTCGCGGCTGAAATACGCGGAGTCAAAATATAGTAGGTATAAGAATAAGATAATATTTTTATAACCTAGGTACCCATTACATTAATACTTCTGGGTTTCATTTGCTAATGATAAGAATAGGTTCAGCCTCTCGGTCTCGTTTGTGAGATGGCTGATTTCAGCCAGTAAAAAATTAAAATTAAATTTATTTAAACACGCCATTAAAACACGGTCGCATTTCGCGGCTAAATTCGTTTATTTCTTTATCTTTCTCTGTGGAATAAAACCGTGACTATGTTCATTGTGAACTTGGCTGTATGATATACGTTACTGCTAGTAACGTCTATAGAAAAAATAAAAAGAATCTTGTCATTGTCATTGAAGTTCCGTTGATTTCGTTGAATAAACGTGTGATAATTTTGCTTTTAAAATTGTGAATTACAAGTTATTATATCGGATATCATGGAAAATACAATGGAGCGGCAAGTTATCTATAATTATTTATCTACTTTTCGAGGCTTGTTGGCAATTTTCAATAAAAATTTTGTAATTGAATTTGACTCAGTCCTAGGAATGACCACCGTAATGTCGCAAGTTTTTACTTTTTAAGTGACTTAATTGCTTTCTGTGTCAATATATTCTGTGCAATATATTGTGAAACTAATATTTAAGCTAAATACGAAAGCGCAAAGTATACTTTGATGTAAAAAGTGAGAAATTGCTTCAAAGTATGTAACGGTCGTTAAGTTGCTAATATCCTCACCGATTTTGCCAAGCAAACTTGTGAGGCAAAACATCTTTTTTAAGTTTGAGGGGATCACCAACTAGTTTGTACTTAACGTAGTTTTCCAAATCGTTTTCGACCCAGAACAAAATACAAACTTATTTAAAGTCTATAAAAAATAAGGAACCTCGTAATTTGTATTCCATCAATATTTAAAATATGTACCAACTATGTAATACATAAAAATACGACAACACGAAAAAAAATTTAAGTGCTCCACTTCATAATCAAACTTATTCCATTATTTGCGGCCCGCAAAGTATGAAAGTTGAACAGCTCTGCGTGTGTGTTTAGTTTTTGCTCGAAATATCGTAAAAATATAAAAACGTTTGTTAACATATTCCATATTTTAACCTTTATATTACGCATTATAAACATTTTAAAATTTACTGCAAACATAGTAGGTATCTAAACTTACGAACTCACGACAGGTCATTGACTTATCTACATTACATAGGTACTTTACCCAAGTTTGGATGTTTATTTACACTGAAGTAGTTTTAGTTAAATATGTAGGTATTAGGTATTGTTTCTTCTTGAAATTATAATGATCATTAAGCGTGGAAAGGTTCAATGAATCGTTAGTTACTTAAACACTGCGACTCGAGTAGGTACCTACATGCCTAATACCTAGAAAGCATTTACTAGCAATAACCAAGACCTATCATGTGAAAGTTATTATTATTTGAATACTTACATCGAAATGATCCTCACAACAAAATGCTACCGTGTTCGGTCCTAAAGGATGTGCTCTTCTCATAACATTTGTCCATTTTTTTCTGATGGTAGGGTTTCTAGGCACATTAAAAAACAACTTTTCAGGTGTTTTTGTGGCCGTATTTTTACATTGAGGCACAGCACAATATTTAATAGATGGTGTCATGTTCTACTATAATGTTTCTTGTTAAAAATAGATAGATAGATCCGCATGCGACGGGCACATTCGAGTAAATGTTTTGATTTTCTAAGTGCGCGTCGGGTCGCTCGCACGAAGATGGAACTTGTGACGTGATCAACGATGTCGCGCTCGGCCCGCTGCTTAGATCGAAAATGTTAACTTTGCGCCTTTATATCTCGGTCAGTTTTGAAGATAGAAAAAATTTAAAAACACAGTTATTCTCATAATTTTTTGTAGAATTTTTTGGCATATAAAACAAAAAATGGTTATCTTCTCCATTCTATGGAATGAAAAATCAGACTATAGTTGTATTTTCTACACTTCCGTGATATAGGTTTTAAATTAACGGGTTTTCTGAGAATACGAAAAATAAAATGACGACTCTAAATCCAATATGGTGGACCGCCCAAGATAACGGACTACTTGTTATTTTTTTATGCATCATTTGATACGCGTATCATGAGGTTTTGCTAAGAGAGTAAGGACGGATATAAAGGTTGTAATCGAAAAAGGATTAAATAAAATCTTTGACCCCCCCCCCACCCCGACTAAAAGGAAGTAATTCACGAAATATAAATATAAGAGTTTTAAAAAGGTTTGATTTATCGCGAAGTCTGTCATAAATCATAATATACAGATAATTATGACTTGACTTGTCCTTCCTACCTTTCTGTACCTACTTGTATGTCGCAACGATAAACACAGCAATAATATCTACACATATTCACCTACCTATTAGGTAATACAATTATATACCTATTAGATAATAATGATGTTTGCAAACTGTAGATGAACAGGGTGTCACTATTTTGCGAATGCCCCCTTACCACTGCGAGCTAAACCAAATTGAGTTGGTCTGGGCTCAAGTAAAGGTCATGTCGCTAAAAGTAATTAAAACATTAAAATTAAATGAAGTACGAAGCTTTTTTGTAAACGATCTTCGTCAAGTGACCCCTGCAGCAGAGGAAAGAACACCGTCTTTTTGAATTTTGAATATTCTAGTGAATTCTTCAGACATGGAGTCATTATCGGAATCTGTTTAATGTACATGTAATTAGTTAGATAATTATAAATATATGTTTCTCGTTATAGATTTTTAAACCTTATTAATTTTGTATTATTACGTTTTAAATAAGTACACATTTTTTCAAGATAACTTATAAAAAAACGATACTTGATTTTATTAACGCCAATTTCCACTAGTGGAACATCACAATGTCAATTCAGTCTCAGAGACAAAAAAACACAGACTATAGTATATTTTTTGCTTCTTAAACAGGAATCGAAGTAAACCTACCGGATCATATTCCTTCTTGATTTCTTTTCTCGTTTTCGCCTTTTCAGCAGCCTGTATCCTCTTTATCAAATCTTCGGATATTTTAGGCTCAACTCTTCTACCGTTCTCCGATGGTATTATGTCTAACAGCGATTTGCGGCTCTTCTTATTGGCGGCCTAAACAATAATATTTCTTTAATATTACATTAGCACTAAATACACATCGAAACATCCATAGAATACTATAATACACAATAGAATGGCTGTCAACCTTATTTTGTACAGAGGTTCGGCGTCGCCGGGAGCACACATACAAGCAATTACGTCGTATTATCACTACTACAAACTACTACGTCGTATTATCACTACTACAAACTACTACAGCTGTACACATCATCGTTGGAGCCACACGCAAGTGTGAGTAACGATCCAAGAGCAAGTCTTATCCGACACTATTCCGATGATATCCCGGACGTCAGTCTGAGCGAGATTACAATGGCTCTCCAGCACCTTAAAAACGGCAGGGCCCCAGGCGAGGATGGAATTACAGCGGAGCTTCTGAAAGCGGGTGGAACACCGGTACTTGAAGTCCTTCAGAAGCTCTTCAATTGAGCAGAAGTGCGGTGGTCTTGTTCTTAAGAAAGGCAACAACGCTCTCTTGAAGAACTACAGACCGATTTCCCTTCTGAGCCGCGTCTACGTGCTGTTTTCGAGAATCATTACGAATCGTCTCGCACGCAGACTCGACGACTTCCAGCCTCCCGAACAAGCTGGTTTCCGAAAAGGCTTCAGTACCATAGACCTGATTCGCTGTGTTGACAGACTGAGTAAAGAATCATGTCCACTTTCCATACATTGATTGACCTGTCACTTGATTTTTTAACAGGTGGCGTCTACCTACAACTACTGTTTATAAAAACAATTATTGTTTATAATAACATAATAACTTATCATCTTTTCATTTAGAGGCCAGGGAAAAACGCTATTAAGTAAATAACATTTTGAGGTTATAATAGCTGCTGTCAACTAAGCTCTGTACACTTGTTTTTCTTTCCACACCATAGTATAAAACCATTACAATCGTATTTAATCATAAATTAATAAGTTATAAAAAAGGAAATTGGTTACTTTGAACATTCATAAACCACATGACGAAAGCACAAGTTTTTCGTAGTCTGAAACGGAACATGTAAAACACATTTTTAGTATATTTTGGCATGGCTTCTGGGCCTTTGAGCCATAGTAAAACACGTTTCATCGCCAAGTCTATTGAAAATGATAAACAAAGTACCATTACTTTTTTCCTGGCTTTATTTGAAAATTCAATTATGCGATACGAAATAAGAAAAAAATATGCAATTTTATAAGATATTTTATATCACTAGACGCGTTAGAAAATTTTCAGGTCAAAACTGGACGTGATTCTTTACACATTTCAGACTTTTGATTAATGTTCAAAATCATCATTAAAAATCGTTTAAATTTTAATACATATTTATATGTAAATAGTGTGTAATTTGATATTTTCTAAATAATTTACATGCGAAATTTGGAAACGATTGTTACGTCAAAACACATCTTGTGTTGACATTTATACATGTGAATTGACACGTTAGTGACATTTTAGTGGCTACACAGGCTCCGCCCACTCCCCCGTTCTATTATGTATGTATTATAGTATTCTATGGAAACATCTATATAAATATTAAATAACTAATTACCCAAAAGTTTGAACTATAATATTTGAGTTATAATTCCTTATTCAAAGATCAGTTTTACTGCATTTAACAACAAAGAATGTTAAGTTTTACAGAATTACATGATGTAAGTTCTGATAAGAACAGTTACAAAGCGTATATTCCAAGAAGTTGAATAATAAATAGAGAAAAAAGAACTTCATTCAAAGAATCATGCCCACTTTCCATACTTTGAATGACCTGTCACTTGATTCCTTTAACAGGTGGCGTCTACCTACAACTACTGTTGTATAAAAACAATTATTTTTTCACAGATATTACCATTAGGTAAATATGGAAAAATGCTATTAAGTAAATAAAAGTTTGAGGTTTAACAGCTGTCAGATAAGGTCTGTACACTTATTTTTCTTTTCCAATTAAATTTCGAAATTCCATTAAAAATCGTATCAAATCATAAATATTTAGTTATAAAAAAGAAATTGGTTATTTTTAACATTCATAAACCACATAACGAATGAGCAAGTCTTTCGTAGTCCGAAACAAAACGTATAACACGTTTTTAATATATTTTGGCATGATTTCTGGGCCTTTCGAGCCATTGTAGGACACACTCCGTCTCCAAAAGTCTATTAGGAATGATATACAAAGTAACATTACTTTTTGTCCTGGCTTTATTTGAAAATTTAATTATGCGATACGAAATAAGAAAAAAATATGCAATTTTCAGAAAATTTTCAGGTCAAGACTGGACATGATTCTTTGATTTTCAAAATTGATACAACTAAATCAACTATAATTAAGGAAGTAAAAGATTACCTTTTTTGTTCTTTCCATCTGTATGATTGAAATTATAAAACAAAAACATTATTTGACTAAATTTTCAATACTAGCCATGTGGTGGTTGAGTAAGATGAACAATCACCATGTTTTGTACAAGGAAAGAAGGTGTTAACTGTGATCGTCAATCAGCCCATCAAATGTGGCAATTTCAGTAAAATCATACTAGTGGTGAGGGCATTCCGTCCCATTATTTTTTATGTGTAATGTCATTACATTATTTGCCATTATATAAATTGCACTTTAAAAGAACTCAATATATTTAAATTATTTACTAAACGAAACAACAATAATGAAGAACAAATAGTTAACCAATTTGAACTATGAAATTAAGTTAAATATTTTGCAATACATAATTTTTTTATTACATGGATTAATAAAATATTTTGAGTTAGAGGTTTCATTTAAATACAAATAAGGTATTATGGTCAAACATGTCTTATAGTTATGAACTTCTACAATTTCGTTTCGGGTGCTGTATAGCACCCATGATCCGGGGGGGGGGGGGCTGAGGAATTTGACGTCACAGTTAGCCCAGCTACCTTGTTTTAGAATATAAATTTTTGATCCAATCTACACAGAATGAGCTTGCAGTATGTTGAAGTGAAGTCTTGCAGTGTTATGCTTGGGTTTGGATTTAATTATATTAATTATAGGATCCCAAGCAGATGGTAGTACCCATTCATCTTCTCATCTAAGGAAGTTTTTTAATTTCAATTTTTTCTATTAACCAACAACAATTAACTTACCAGTGCCTTAGAGCTCTTCTTATTAACCGTGAGCTCCTCATTTCTTTCATTTTCTTCAATCTCCTCTAGCCGTAATAGGAACGTGTCGAGATCATCACGCCAAAGCATAGAGGGTGTTTTTGCTCTGGTAATAATAATAATAATATTGTTTTGTTAAAGATTGAACTGTGTAGTGGTGATGTTGGAATATCGCCTACCTCATATCGTTCTATTAATGTTGATGTCGTAAGAGGCGACAGGGTTTTTTTTTTATAGAAGAGGGGGCAAACGAGCATGCGGCTCACCTGATGTTAAGTAACTACCGCCGCCCATGATCAACCGCAACACCAGGGGAATTGCAGGTGCGTTGCCGGCCCTTTAGAAAGCTTTAAGCTCTTTTCTTGAAGGTCCGCAGGTCGTATCGGTCCGGAAAAATCGCCGGTGGTAAACTATTCCACAGAAAGGTTGTACGAGGAAGAAAACTCCTTGAAACATACAGTGGTGGACCGCCAAGCATCCAGATGGTGTAGATGGCATCGGGACGTTCGCCACGTGCGTTTACGAAATTTGGCGGCTGGGATTAATTCGAACAATTCCTCAGAGCACTCCCCATGATATATGCGAAAGAAAATGCAAAGAGATGCAACATGCATCTAAACGTAGAACGTGAAACAAGCCATGAGATCGGCAGCAGCATCTTCCTTTTTATTAACTAAAAATAAAAACTACACTTGCCAAAATTGACAATAATCTCCCTTAAGAGGGAGGGCTAATGTTCAGCAGTAAAATGTTCATTTGATGGACTGTAACAGTAATGTTTATATATCCAAATACTCAAATGTTGCTTAGTTTTAAGATGCTGTTTAGTCTCATGCTGTTTCTACCACTACGTCAAAGTGACTGTGACACCACGAGACTTAACGACATCTTAAAATTGTGTAGCCTTTGAGTGTTTGGCCAAAAGACAGATTGTTAAAAATTTAAACGGGTATCTTAAACTTTTGTAACTTGTAATAGTATTTTCATATAAGCTAAAATGTAAAAACTTACTTAAGGGCATTGAGTTCAGCCAGTTTCTGATCCCTTTGCTTTAATAGTTCATCCTTTTTCTCCTTTGTTAGCATCCACATGGACATGCCCAAAAGGTAGTTGAATTTCTTAACTTCCTTTAACTGTTGGAATGCTTTCTCTGCAATGAAAAATAACAAAAGTTTTATACTAAAATTAAGTATATTTACAACTACAACTGTGGTAGCTAATATGCTTAGCATATGCTAAAAACTCAAGTTTAACCCCTGCTTTTACCAAAAAAGTTGTTGATTGCAGTTTTATATCAAAGTTACAGTGTCACAGGTAACACCAAAAACAACAACTCCTTACTAACTCATGTAAAGTTTATGCAATAAGATTCCTTTTACTATAATATTTGAACCTGGGACCATGCATAATGTTTTTAAATTGAAATGTTTAAAATAACATGGTACTACAATTAATTAAGTGACATCACAAGTATACTAGAATAAAATAGAAAATTCTCTTTTTTTGTACAGACAAGCACTATACTTTGCCGGAACCAGTGAAAAGATTTTATCGATCTTAAAGTATCTAAAAATACTGAATATACCTACAACTTTGTTTTATATGTACTATTATTCAACTGTGCACTATTTTAACTTATATCAGCGGTGAATACTACAAGAAAATCGCATTCAGTTTGTTTTTAGGTTATTGTAAGATTCATATTTTAATTGTTAATTTCTCAGGACGCCGTTTAGTTGCAGTAAATCTAACAATACTATTGTAACCTATAGATCATAACTCATAAATAAAATTTGTGATGGACCCATTCTTCATACACAAATAAATTGTCGCCTTTGATTTGAACCTGGGACCATGCATGTTTTTAAATTAAAATATTTCAAATAACATGGCACTACAAATAATTAAGTGACATCAAAAGTATACTAGGATAAAAAAGAAAATTTTAATACAATTTTAATTTTTTTTAATCTAAAATAAATTCTCTTAAAAATGTTTATAATATTCCTACCTGGATCAATAGGTTTTCCTTTGTTATCTTCAAGCTCAGGCTCATCTTCAGACTCTTCCTGTGCCTCTTCCTCCAATGCGACCAAGCCTTGCATTTTACTTGCGCGTTTCTTCCAATCCGCGATTGGGTCCGGTGCATAGCCTAAATTATAATTATGACATTATTACATGTTCCTCAAGTTGAGAATGCTTAAAAAAACATTCAACAATTACATGTTACACTGCCTATAACAGTCTGAAGCAACTGTCTACTTTAACTTTCCTTTGGCAAAACTTAAATAAGTATAATTGCATATATTTAGATATGTAACACACATGAGAATATTATTTCCTCAAATATTATAAGATTTTAGTTTAGCCCAAAACAACGTAAGCCAGATTTATATAAAATAAATAATGGAATCACAATTTTAATTACTCACCTCTTTTAATAAGTTCTTCTACCATCGCTTTCCTTTTCTTATTTTCAATTACTAGTCCTTTGTCACATTTCTCTAATATGAAGCGGGCCTGATTGGTTAGCTTGTCGGCTTCTGCTTGTAGCTGCCCTTCTAGGTAATCTTTACGTCTCGCGTAGTATTTCAGACGCAGATCGTAGAAGTCTCGAAGAACCTCTTCCACTTTGTCATATCTGTGATACACATTATTTAATGGTCATATTAATTACAAAATCACTAAACCACCTGTATTGAAATTATAATAATGCTGATGGTTTTTTCAAAATGATTTGACTAACTTCTTTCAACTAACACAGACCACAAAGAACTGGTCAATTCGAAGTAATTCGGAAGCGGGCGAGATAACAATCGACCGGGGAAGGACCGCGCTCTCACAGAATACCAGCGTAAAATAGCAGCTTTATACTGCTGTGTTTCATATGATGAGTGTAGAGATCCGGTTTGGTCATGTGGAAAGAATGAATGAGGAAAGAGTAACAAAGAAAATTTATGTTGCAGAAGTGAATGGCAGAGTCGGAAAGGGACGTCCTAGGCGAAAATTTATCGACCAAATTGGCGATTTATTGAAAACGGGCCAAATTAGGAGTACCCTTAACTGACGAGCATGTATGCGTAGGTGTATGGATGTGAAGGAGGCAAGAGAGGTGTGTCAGGATCGTGCCAAATGGAAGTCTGTAGTCTCTGCCTACCCCTCTGGGTGACAGGCGTGAGTGTTTATGTCTTATTATGTCTATAAAAGTAAAAGTGTACTGTATAGTGGTGGTGTAAGAATATCTACTACCTCATATTATATTGATGTCGTAAGAGTCGACAGAGAGAAACAAATCAGGAGGTGAGCAGCAGCTTTTTCCTAATAACAACAAAATATCAAACTGCAGTTGCCAATCCGTTTGCCAAGCATGACAACTATGGCAAATTTTTCCCTTTTAGGCAATCTATGGGGTGGGCCTACGTTCAGCAGTGGACTTTAATAGGCTGTAACGGTAACGAGTAAAGAAAAAAAATTTGCAATATTTTCACACCCGCTATACTGAATGCGGAACGACAATGTGTATATAATAATGCCTTCCAGACCAAATTTCGGTCACGGCGGCCAGCCATAACGGAGACTAGCCAAGGGTGTAGGACAGGATTATAGTGCCCAAGTGTATGCGCAAGCAAGTGTGCACTCTCTATTCCCTTACTCTCATAGTCCAATGGGACGATAAACTGATACAACCTGAGAAATCTCAGGCACAGGAAGAACGTTTGTTTTTGAACACTTTATGTGCTTTCCGAGGCATGGGGGACAGACGCTGTCAACTTTCTGACTCTGGGTAGCTCCTGAGAATTTTTTAATAGAAAAACTCAAAAACTGATTTTTTTGGCTCAACCCAGGATTCAAACCCAAGACCTCATGATAAGTAAGTAACGAAAATAATGAATGTAATGCGTGTACTGCTGTGTTCTAGTCTAAATGTATATTGCCAATAAAATAACATTATTGGATTTGAGCATTCCGTCTTCGTCTTCAGAGATAACAATGCAGTTTTAGCCTTCTTGTTTAGAGAAACAGATGTTATTTTATAGAAAAATATTTATCAAACCACTTAATAAATTCTGACATTGCAAACAAATCATTATGGCAATAAAGTGTATACACTAAGGGATACTATGACTTGCATGAACATTTTAAAGAAAAATAAAAACTCACTTTTTCAAGCAGTTGTTGTAATCGAAGGCATTCATACAGGTCATGGATATTGTAGTCTGCAGTTTAAAGACTTTGTGTATACCTTCCGCTTCTACTTCGGCTAACTTGCCAGGCAACAAGGTGACAACAAAACGCACTGTTGTATCTGTGTTGTATTCCTGTTACAAATAAATTCAAACATCAAAGATGTTACTTCTTGCAAGTATATATAGATATTACTCCTCAAAAGTATATGTTTCGTTTATTATGTTTTGTTATGCCACACCACCACTGCCAATCACAGCATACCCATTCAAGCCAGGGAATCGTAGCCTAGCCCAGCCAAAGCCACCACTCTAACTACTGGATGCCTCTGGTAGGGGGTTCAGCTATATAGTGCCTTACAACCTCATTTTTCGAATTCAGTGCATTATATATAATACACTACCGCTCTTTATAAGACGAAACTCTGTTCAAAATATTTGAATTGAATAAAGTAATTGTGTTTATAGTTTTCTACAGTCTTTTTATTTTACTTACTGTGACAGTTTACAAAAGAAATTACTAATGAGACTGGATCTTTCTTTAGTCCAATAAAATCCTTAAACCAACGATTACATTAAAATTTATTTCATTGCTGGTAGACTTCAAAGTTGGGAGATATTATATACCCATTTGGGAGAATGTGTTAATATTCGGTCTTTCAAAAATCAGACCCATTACAACATCTAAATGATCAAAAATTTTAACCCCTTGTGTGGCAACCGGCCAGATTCTGGCCGATGGTTAATTACGCGCGTCTGGCAAGCGACCAGATTCTGGCCGATCCGTGACTGCGTATTTGGGGGGTAAAATAACCAGCGACAATGATTTCTATCACATTTTTACTTATAGAAAATTATAAACCAAAGAAAGAGGATGCGATACAAAGCTACTAAAGTACTGCCATGTTTAGAAATTTCGAATTAACATCCTGTGTGGCAGTCGCATGCGAACGTCGCTTCTATGTGATCACCCGTCCCGGTTTTTGTCCTTATTTTTATTCGTAAATCGAACAAATAGTGAAGTTTGGTGCTATTTAGACATGGAAGGGTTAATAACCAACAGTTTTTAATTCATAATTTAGGGATATGTATCCTTTTTATAAAAAAAAAATCGAAAATAAACCGTCGTTATACTTACTTACCTTACATTTATCTCTATTGTTGATTAAAAATACATTACATACTTTTTAGAAATGAAACTTTATCTAAATTAAGAACTTGAGCCATACTTAATGTTAAAATTATCGCACGCCACTTGACTTGCTCATTTCTCAAAATAAAACTAACAATATATGCTATTTTTTTGTGCGACGCTTGGGTTGCCGTTAATGTATTAAGATTGTAAAACACTTTTGGGGTAAAAATATATAGGAATGTGTGGTTTTTTTTTGCTTTTTTATTATAAATTAGTGTATATTGATTAAAATAAATTACATTTATTTTATAAAAGAATGATTTTTTTGTTTAATTTTCACAAATTATGCACAAAATACTATTAAAAATTTGGTTTTCCAACTTTGAAATTTGCTTAATAAAATCTATTAAGTTGTATTCAAGTAAGATATCTACAGAGTAATAGCAAATAATATAACAATTCATATGACATAAGTTTTATACATAGCTTCCATACAATATTTTAGAGAAATTACTAATTTAATCGCCACGCGCCGTTATCGCGAAATTACCTCCTAAGGCCCTAGCAGACGCGACATATTTGCAAAATGACCGGCCGGCAGACGAGGGGTTAATAAATATAATTTCTGTGGCACGAAATTTTAATAATCACAATTTCTGTGGTAGGTAATTTATTTTATTAAATTAAATAAAGACCGTTATATTTGAACTGTAAAAGTTTGAAGAATGGATTTTATACAATATATTGCTGTGGCACTGTGCCCAACTAAGTGAGCAAAGTAAACAAGAAAAACAACTGCAGCATAGAGTATCAAATAAAATCATCATCCTATTATTATAACTGCATTTAACAGTAGGGTTATCCAAGATGACTTTCTATGATTATTAATATTATAGAAAGCTATAAAAATGAATGAGAATGACATATCTGGAACTTAAATCACATGAGAGTCACATGACTTAGTGTTGATTTCATAAATTTTTATACTTTTCTAGTGTTAAGAATTATGCTGGACTGTTTTAGTATTTTTAAAGGTTCCTAGTTCTTAAAATAATAAATATATGATAAAAACTGATCTGATTGAATTAGTGATCTTACCCGATATTCAGAAATCAAGGGTTTCACTTTATCAGTTCCAAGCATGGGCTCTAACACATTTTCCTTGTAATTCTGAGTCCATACACCAACTGGAAGCTCAGTAATCTCTATTTTTTCTCCAGGCAATATAGCTGCTTCACCAGATATAACATATTTGTCACCAAAGCTCTCAATTGTACCACGGAAATTTTTGTACCATGGATGCATAGGCTTGGGCTCATCACCATCTAGCAAACGGCTAAAAATGAACAATTAATAAAATTAAATCTTACATAGCTTAAACATTTTGTTATAATTTTTAATGAATGAGAGTAGAAAATAAAAGAAAACAACAAAGTGAGGGTACAACTCGAAACTCCTACTCGTTAGGGCAATACCCACAAAGTACAGTGTAGGCAACTAGCTTGTATCAGTCATTTGACAATTCTTAATCATTACATGGTTCTATCAGTTGCAAAGAAAGGTTATTTTGCCGTGAGGCTCCCTGTGTTACGTCGTGATACAGGCAGCAGTGCTGTTGGTGTGCATATGTATGAATGTGTACCATGAATATTTTATAATGTAAAGATGTTATGGAGACATTTCTTTTCTTTATTGAGAGTAATTTGTAACAACACATTATCAGATTATGTATCTACATTAATTTTATTTATACTCATAAAATAGAATAAAGCGGAAGAATTTTTGTTTGTTTAAACACTTTAATCTATAGAACTACCATGCTGAAAAGCACAAGCATATGACGTACTTATCGTGGGTCGAAGCTCGAAACCGCAAAGCTTTGGATGTTAGCCTTAAGAAGAGCCTTTAACCAAGCTGCGAAGTCTTGCAAAAAGGCATTGCAGCAAGCAAGTTTCGACAGCATTAAACGCATCGGTAAAGTGCTCTCTGCCAAACCACTAGCATTAGTGGTCAAGCAGTGGTAGTAGCAAAAGCACTCGAGACAAATTTCTGTTGGTCTACACTGCCTCCGCTGGTAAAACCAGATAGCTCACTGGCGCATGCGCATTTCTAAGGAGAAAGCGGACATATTTGCTTCTTTTTGCTTGCAATTCGCGTTTGTACAGTAGCAATAGCGTACCATCTCAATTACTTCACTGCGGTACCTCTATGTCAGAAGTCCGTATCACCAACAAGGAAGTTCTTAAGACCTTGCGAAGTCTAGACGTGAACTAAGCTAGTAGACCTGATAGTTTACCAGTTATAGTTCTAAAGATCTGTGCACCTAGGTTGCTTCCTGTGTTGACGCGTTTGTTCCGGCTCTCATTCAGGACTGGAACAGTGCACAAATCTTGGAAGCCAACGTGCAGCCTGTGCCCAAAAAGTTAGCCATACCGACCCTGCCGACTATCGGCCAACATCCAAATGCCTCCATACTCTGCAAGATTATGGAGCGTATAATGAACGCCCGCTTACTGGCATAACTAGAACAGAATGACCTTTCTTTAGTGACCGGGTATATTTGACCGAATTTCGTCGGAATCGGTCAGCTGGGAACCTTCTAGCATATGCCACACATATGGGGCGAGGCACTTGAGAACAATGGGGAAGCACTTGCTATTTACTTTGATATCTCAAAGGCCCTTGACAGAGTTTGGCACGTTAGCCTTTTGGGTAAGATACCAGCATACAGCTTATCCCCTGGTCTGAATGAATGGGTGAAGGACTTTCTGAGTGTTCACTCTCTGTCGTCGTGTCGTCGTCGGGAAGGACTTTCTGAGTGTTCACTCTCCGTCGTCGTGTTGTCGTCGTGAAGGACTTTCTGAGTGTTCACTCTCCGTCGTCGTGTCGGTCTCTCCGGGTCGTCGTGGATGGCTGCATATTCGATCCTGTGGCGACTGACGCCAACGTTCCTCAGGGGTCCATTCTCTCCACAATTCTCCTACTGCTGCATATTAATGATCTGCTTCTGCCCGGTATCTACGGGTATGCAGATGACAGCATAGTTGTGGAGAGATACCAACCAAGTGCCTGGGCCAGTCGGGATCAAATCCAGTCCAAGAGAGAAACTATGGTTGAGCACGTAAATCTCACACTACAGGGACAATGTCAATCTTATGAGATTCAACGCCTCCAAAACACAAGCGTGTTCTTTTTACTGCTAAAAGAGCCTGCTCACACTGGTTCCTACTTTCAGTTGTTAGGGGCTAAATTTTCTCCGAACCTCAACCATGGGCGGTTCATTGAGTCCAGAGCCAAAACAGCCGCAAGGTAACTTGGTGTCCTTACAAGGGTGCGGCGGTATTTTACGCCGGGGCAGCTTCTTACCTTATATAACGCGCAAATCCTGTCGTGCATGGAGTACTGCAGTCAATTATGTGCTGATGCTGCAAAATGCCACTATGCAGCATTGGACTCAGTGGAGAGACGAGCTAAGAGGCTCATTGGTGACCTTGATTTGATTGAAACCAATATGCTGAGGCTTTGAGCACAGGGGCAGAGTAGCCAGCCTCTCGGTATTCTATAGGATGCATTTTGGTGAGTGTGCGCAGGAATTGCACGCTTTAATTTCTCCTTCTTCTTTCCACCATCAGACAACCAAGCGGTCGGCGGGTCTTCACTCCTTTGTTGTCGATATTTCACGCATTAGAACCAAACGGTTTGCTTCGACTTTTTTATTCTCTTTAATTCATACAGCAAAGGAGTGAAATAATTTACCGGCGCCTATCTTTCCATCCGAATACAATCTGGCTCCGAATACAATAGGCTTTTGTTACGCTAAGACAGTGAGATTTACCATCTAAGGCTGCATCACCACTTACCACCAAGTGGGATTGTGATCAAACACCGGCTTATAATAAATAAATATAAAGAAACATGAAGAATAGTATAGGCTATCCAGCATTAGGCTACACCGCTAAACTAGCCAAAAAAAAACTATCCTTTCAAATATTGATTTTTGTTTAGCAAGTCTGAATGGAAAAAAACCTCCCGAAATGATTAATCCGCGTGCGCTAGCGTAATGGTTAGTGATACTTAAATACAATGTTCTACAAAAATATAGATCTTTTCTCCACCAAAAAAAGTCTGTGATACCATATGCCTATTTCTTACACTTAAGCCACAATAAGGTATTCCGTGACAAAAAAGTATTAAAATTAATAAGTGATTTAAGAGCGCTATTATTAGTCATAACATATTTATTCTTACGAATGAAAGTTACTTCATCATCAAAACAATTTTATGAAGATAAATTTTGTATATGTATAGTTTAAGAGATAATGAAAAATTAGAATGATTTAGCACTAGGCGCAGCGCGTAAATGTCGCCTAGCCATTTGATGAGAACCGAGAGAAACCAGCAAAGAACACCTCTATAAGCGAGGCTATCGCGCGGCTCAGATGCGTATTATTCGCGGATGAAACTGCGGGCACAGCTAGTATGATTATGAAATTCAAGTATTTAACATTTTAATATATTTTTTATCAGTCATTTTATGCCACCTTAATATAATGATAGAATTAAATTAATGTGAATGCAGTGCCAAGCTATCATATTCTCATGTTGACTACAAGCCCATGTATCCACATGGTCACATACATACTTTAGTATTATGTGAGTATTAGACTCGGATGTATTTTAAACTTCCAAAAACAGGACTCACTGCTACAACTTTGAAACATGTAGTTAATTAAAATTCTTTATAAAGTGCACAGCAAATGAGTATAAAAACTAAATAACCAAACTAGTCATACCGTATGTTAGCCACTATGTCACGTGGGTTATAATTAGGTATTTTAGTGGACCAGCCAGTTCCAATACCTTCAGCTCCATTTACTAATACCATAGGTAGTATGGGGACATAGTACACTGGCTCGATTTTTTGATTATCTTCAAACTCGTGCTGTAAAATGAAAAAGATTAAGTTTTTTTGATTTTTTAAATGTATGGTAAAAGCATGCATAGGAGAATAACAAAGTTTAATTTAATGTGGCGGTGTAAGAATATCCAGTACCAGGTAGTGGATGTGAGGTAGTCGCCAGCAGTAGCATTACAATAGGTGTTGTGAGGTGCAACAGAGAGAAAGACATAGGGAGCAGCGGGAGATGGGGAGCAGAATATTTTAATTGACAACTAGAAAATTAAAAAAAAAGGTTACAAATAACTATCTGAGAAAGGGCCACATATAAAATGCAAGCACAGTCATTAGGAGCAATAACAAATATCAGAAGTTAATTACTGCAATCGCCATAGGCTTATTAAAAATTACATCATTTCCCGAAATCGGGTAAAACTTATGCTATGCTGCGAATTTTAACATAGTTATGATGAACCAGTCCAATGTCCAAAATCCAAAAGAAATGCAAAAAATATTTCAATACTTACAACAAGCAACGGATCGTCATGTGGATGGAAAATGAGTCTTGTAAGTGGTGACATAAGTGTGAAAATATAACGCGGGCTGGCCGAATCCTTGCCACCGCAAAGCCGCGTACCGAACTGACCGCGCGGCTCTAATAAATTAATATTGTTTGAACCCACATAGTTTTGGGCGAGATTCACGATAGTCATGGCTAGGGACTGCTCACCTGCAAAATAATAGTTATTGTGGTGTACAATGAAGGTAAAATTCCTCAATAATAAATGATACATCACATTTTTCATTAATTCTCAGATAGTTATGTTCAATTGCAAAATATTTCAACATTTTGGTCTAAAATTGAGAAGTTAACTAGGCATTTGATAGCAACAAATTATTACTCTCAAAAAAAGCAATTAATTATCAAATGTCAGAAATTTCACAATATATAAGATCTAACCTCTTCAATGGATTATTAGTACATACGAAATATGTACGATATTCTTTTTGCAACATGTAAGTTTCGATTCATTAACCCTTAACCACTTACCTCTGTTTTCTGTCACGTAACCACTTACGTGCGGTCATAGTGACCGCTCCAGAATTATCGTCATGTTTATACTATAATCAGGTTAAAATCGGGAAGGATATATGAAAACAACATAGATATATACTAATACTATTTATTGAAACTAAAAATAACAAAATATGTTTTGCTCTGCTATTCAAAACCTAGTATTTTTTGCTAGCCTCTTAATTAACCCTTAAAAATTTTACTTCTTTAGAAAATGAGATCTGTAAAAAAAGTAAATTGGAAGTTGTACTTATTGAGACTAATTTTAGTTAAATTAAAAAAGTAGTTACTTAATGAAATAAAAAAAAACAAAAAAGTTGCATGTTTAAAAAAAATTGCAAGTACTAAAAGTTTAAATTTTTCCGCGGTAATTATGGCACATTTTTTGCGAACATTCTACGCATATTGGCTTTTTACATACAAAACAAAGGTGAAATGTTTTACGTTTTTTTTAGGGTCGCAGGTTGAACAGATCTTGCGAGTTTCCAGCTTGTCAGCACCGGAACTGCTTAGTATTTCTTCTTCTACTTGAAGTATTCGGCCAATAGAACCTCTGATATCCTGCGGAATGTGTTCATTCGTTCTTCGCTCCATGTGCGGTCGTGTTAACTGTTCTGCCAATTTTTTTATGAACTTGAATCTGCTTCCGGTCTTTTGCGCCTGATTAGACAAACTGACAATGTAGGCGTTTGAAAGAGATATGTCCAACAATCTATAAAAAATGACCATTGGCCATCTTTGAGTACGACTTTGAGACGAGCTGTAGAATAATTTGAACACCTTTGATCCAGTAAATCGACGCCTATTTTCGTTTTATTATAGTACATAATGATTTCTGGTTTTTTACTATTTTCATCAACGCTTACTGTATGGTGCATGCTCGAAATCATAATAACAGCCTCGTACTTAATTGGAACATAAGATGACAAAGTCATATCTTTGGTGTAACCAAAAACCGATGATTCAACTGTTCTTTTCTTAGATGCCTTAAATTCTAGTGGTATTTCGCGCTTGTTTTTTTTTTCAAAGTACCAACAAGAGTCAATTGTTTATCTTTCAAAACATTGACTAGTTCTACAGAACAAAACCAGTTGTCAGCCGTGATGTTTCTGTTAGTTCCCTCAATAACAGATATGAGACGTAAAACTGCTTGAGTTGGCTTTGATAGTCGCTATTGTTCCGCAGTCAAAGTGAAGCCCATCAGAACCTTTGCCTAAATAAATGTAAGCATTGACAAGATAACCATTTCTTGCGTCTGTTAGGCACATTATTTTCAAGCCATACTTAGCGGGTTTCTTTGGCATAAACATTGTGAATTTGCAGCGACCATGAAAGCCACTAACATCTCGTCTACACAAGTGCAGGTTCCATGTTGTAGATTTCTTGGCATTGCTGGATAAACGAAGCAAACAGTTCCGATATAGGAGCTGACAGATCAGCCTCTCTCCTCTGGTCTCTAGTTTCTGCATCATCAAAACGTACAGCATACAACAAAATTTCTAATCTACTTTTACTCATTACGCAGCGATATATTTCTCTTCACTCCATGAGATCCAAATCCTGAACATTCGTTTGTTTTTTGTATTGCGGTCTCATCTTCCTTATTTTTTCATTAGTATGCTGAACAATTTTTTCAAGCATCTCATCTGAGAAATAAAGCTTCCAAATATCGAGAGGCGTAGTACCATTGGTAAGAATATCTCGATATGCTGGCTTTACTCCTGGCGCTTGTGAAACTATATTTTGCCGCAGAGTTCTCCAACGACTGGTGCAAGGCGTAGAAGACCATCGGAATCGGTTCTTGCCAAAATAATTCCTTCTCGTAGTTTGTTGTTGCACGAGAGGAACCTCATCTTCTGATGAAAAGCTGTCACGCGTAACTGGCGATCTACTTTGTGAGTAAATAAAAAACGAAGAAACATCATCTTCATTTCCAACCGGAAATTGCTTTTCTTCTGAAGACGATCCGCTCTTGCTACCTTCAGAGTCATATTCACAGTCCTCTTGGAGCACATAATCTTCCCACGTCGCTGGTATCTTCATTCAGTATCTCCTCCTCATCTGACACTTCTATTTCTAGCCACCGCGCAATATTTTCGTCGTTTATACTCATTTTACACAAAACAACAAAAAACAATATGAAGACAAAATAATCACACAACCACTTACGTGCGGTCAAGGTGACCGCTTACGAAAATGTCTTATTTATTGCAGCTGAATGCGCGCACGTTGACACATGTCGAGCGACAGCGCGCTACTAACCGGGATTTTGGGAAGGTAAATGAACGCATACAAGCGTAAGACAAATACATGTCGAGATATAAACGATTAAAAAACCATTGCGGTCATGGTGACCGCGGGTAAGTCGTTAAGGGTTAATCATAGTTAAAATTATTTGAAATATGCAGCTGCATATACTAAAAAAAGCAAATTAGTTTAGACATTGTTTACAAACCATGATGGTAAGCTGAATGCTCGGCAACTGAACCAGCCAGTTGAGCCACTTTTACTTCTCGTTTGTCATTACGTTTTATGCAAGTGAAGATTACTTTACGTTGACCAGGCTTTAAGCCATCAACCATAGATGGTATTGATCTGAAATATGAATGACAAAATATGAATTATTATTACAAAAAATGGTCACAGCAAACAAGTGGTAAAGAAAAAAATTTTGCACAACCGACTTCTACATAACAACTTTGACAGAAATGATGTAATACCATAGTAAACTGAACACATCTGTGATTTGGATATTGAGGGTACAGACATATGTTGCGCGTAAATAATGCATAGATATGCCGTAGCAGCAATTGCAGTTGATTTGCTGGCATTTATTGAAGCGTCCCTTAGTCTGTATTTGAAACTCACCTTCAAATCTTTATGAAATTTAAATAGATCATTTTGGAATAAACCTCTCTCAAACAATAAAAGAATTTTGCAAATCCATCTATATATGAAGGAGTTATGCCCGAATATACATATTTTTTTACATGCAGGAAGTCGATGGATGCAGGTGGCTCAGGACCGTGCTTTGTGGCATTACTTGGGGGAGGCCTATGTTCAGCAGTGGACTTGTGAAGGGCCGTAATGATGATGATGATGATGATACAATTTTTTTATAAATATTCAAATTGAGAACCTCTTTCTTTTGAAGTCGGCTAAAAATGTTTATAATTGTAAAATTTCTATATTTCTATATGATAAAGAATTAAAGTACAACAGAAGGGCATCATATGAAATTTTGATAATTATGTAATCTCACCTCACATTATCTCCATTAGAAAAGAGAACCAGCTCCAAATTAATAAAGTCAGAGTATGTAACAGCTTTTGTTTCTTTAGTGTATAAATATCTCTCAGAAAGCCCAATCTCCCTTCTCCTCTTTACCTCATCCATATGATTCGTCAACCACTCTTTACGTTGATCAGCACCTTTTTTAGAGAATGCTAACTCAATATGATGATCATCAGTAGGACCGCTATATCTAAATTTAATTCTGTGCCTTTCCATGTTTTGGAAATACTCTTTTGCCTCCTTAGATGTGGAGGTACCCAAACCTTTGTAATATTTGATATTGTATGTATGATGATTCTCAGTTTCGCTCTTCCACTCTTCAAATTCTGGTAATGAATAGAAGGAAATTTCTTTGTCCTTCTTTGTGGCTTTTACAATAGGCGTAATGAATTCCTCTAAAAATGGTAGTTTCAGTAATTCAGGCCAATTATGATGAATGAAATTTATAATTAGACCTTTGATATGAGAACCATCCTGATCCTGATCGGCCATTATCATCACTTTACCATATCTTAATGCTTTTAAATCGTCAACCGAGTTATACTTTTTTTTATACTGCAGTCCAAGAATTTTGATTAGATTATTGATCTCCACATTTTCTAGAACTTGTTTGTGTGATGCATCACGTACATTTAATGGTTTACCCTTTAATGGGAATACACCATAATGATCTCTGCCTACCACACTAAGTCCAGACACAGCTAAAGTTTTAGCTGAGTCTCCCTCAGTAAGAATTAATGTACAAAGATGTGAATTCTTTGTACCTGCATCATTTGCATCTTCTAACTTTGGTATACCTTTTAATTTACTTTGCTTTTTACCAGATGCCTTCACAAGTTCAGTCTGCGCCTTAAATTTGGCCCATGTCAATACAGATTCAACTAAACCAGACTTAGTTACTGCAGTTATAAATTTTTCAGAGAAATTACATTTCGATCCAAAGCTCTTTGCTTGGAGTGTCATATTTTCTTTTGTTTGTGAATCAAAGGTTGGGTTAACAATCAAGCAGTTGATGAACAACCACATATGATTTTTGACTTGGAAAGGCTTTATGTTTACACCTCCTTTATTTTTCTTTTTCAAGACTTCTAAAACATTCTTTACAACACTATCAGCTACTGTGTCAACATGTTTCCCACCTTTTGTTGTAGCTATAGAATTAACAAATGAAACCTGTTGGAAACCTCTATCTGACAGTGTTAGAGCTACTTCCCAACGGTCATTTACCTTTTCATAAACAACTTTTAATGGTTGTCCATTTTCATCCTCTTTACCTTTAATGTATAAATCTACATAGTCCTTAAATTTATTAATTTTCAGTCGCTCCCCATTTAGATATACTTTGACACCCTGTGAAGAAGCAGCTACATCATATGCACGTCGTGACATTAAAGCAACTATGTCATCCTCGAGCTTCTCCATTTTGAATTTAGACAAATCTGGGCTGAATGTCACTTTAGTAAAATCATCATCTTTGCCAGACTCCTTAACCTTTGGTTCAGAAGCTTTTGTCATATTAGCGCCCCAAGTTTGCTTAAAATGTTTCTTATACTGTTTAGATGCAGTCTCAACAGTAAATTTTGTGGAAAAAATGTTGCAAAGTTTTGCACCATAACCATTTCTTCCACCTGTCACTTTTTCTTCTTCATCATTATAATTAGATGATGTCAAAAGATGTCCGAAAATCATTGTTGGAACATACATTTTCTCCTCTTTATGCATTACAACGGGAATACCACACCCATTATTGTAAACTGAAATAGTATTTTGTTCTTGATTTATGTCAATTCTAATTACGTCCATTTTGGGGTCTCTCTGCTTATTGTCAGCTGCATTAACCAGAATTTCATCATATATTTTATATAGACCTGCAAAGTAATGAAGAAAGATATAAAAATGATGTCTTTCAAAATTCTAAAATTATTTACTGATACAAACTATGTAAGTAATATTTTCTAGTTTTTAAAATAAAACAATTTATTAGAAATATACCTGGCACATATGTCAATTCTTTTTGCACCATACACTCCTTTTCCTTGTCAAAAACCCACATTGTCTCAGTGGCCCGCTCAACAGAACCAATGTACGTATCAGGACGAAGCAGGATGTGCTCCAGTTGAGACTTCTTTTGGTAAATTTTTTCAATTGTGCCTTTCTGACCCTTGGCAGGAGGCGCAGCCTCTGCAGTGCCATTTTGGGTAGCATTTTGCATTTTATTGATCATAGTCTAAAAAGTAATACATGAAAAATACATTTACCTAGCATAAAGTAATAAAACACTATAATGTTAATTTGTCAAAGATTTTTTTGTTAAAGATGTGGTCTCAGGTGCAATATACCTAGGTGCATAAGTACCAACACTAGCTTATTAATTTCACAATATACAAGCAACTCAGGTTCAATCCCCATTAACACCTAAAAAATTGTTATTTGCAATTTTATGTACTGATTTACTGTGTTTGGTGGTGAAAGAAATATTGTGTGGAAAGCTGCATATATGCAGGATTAAGTAGTATAATATGTATTCTTAAAAGAAATATACATTAAATTTAATAAGAAGTTCCAATTATTCAAATTAAAAATAGGTAATAAATAATAATAATAGTAATTTATTGCTGCATAACAATGAATTTACATAAAATATATATTAACATACTGTCTAAATATTACATCTTAGATTATATTAGAACCTCTGACTTCTAAACTAGGCAGGGCCTGTATCATAGAAATCAGCGCTCTTCACAAAATCCGTGTCAGCAAGACAAGTACGAGTTAGCAAAAAGTAAAAAGAAAGTAATAAATGAAAAAATAATAAACTTGCTAACATTTAATAATTAATAATTTCGCAAGCTAAATTAACTTGCGAAACAATATAAAAAGGAGGATTATAAAATAAAAATAAAACCAAACGAAATGTGTGTTTGTTTGTGTGTTTGCGTGTGTGTTTGTGTGTTTGTGCGCGCGCGCGTGTTTGTGTGTGTGTGTGTGTGTTTGTGTGTGCGCGCGTGCGTGTGCGCGCGAGAATGTTAGCAACAGTCAAACTAGGAGGTTTTCAGTTTCTTCATACGTGAGACATTTTAGCCAATTTGTTAATTTTTGCACTCAAACTTATTAAGCGGATAAATGTTGATTTTCTTATTTACTTTATTTTATACAACATTGAGCTTATGATAAAATAGTGTTTTTTGGCAAACAATGTACAGATCTGCGTTTCCGTAAAACCTTAGGATCAAAGCGCGTTTCCATGTGTTTTCTTAAAATAACTTGAGATATAAAGTTGTCTGACTGATAACATTTTACAATCGGCGTATAACTTCGATGTGTCGTATAAAATCGGTTTAAAATTTATTATTTTAAAACTGCTCGCTGAGCTCTTTCCAAAGATATTAGAACTGTTTTGTTAGCAGCACCCCAAACCGAGATACAATAAACAAGAAGCGATTGACATAGGGCATGGTATTGACATAGGGCATTTATTATGTGTTTATCAGCTACTTTCCTTAAAGTTTTAAAAATGTATATGAGTTTTCTGATACGACCAGTTAGTTGCGCAACATGAGTACTCCAATTTATGTTACTGTCAATGCGGACACCCAAATATTTAACAATAAAAAAATATCTACTCTTTCTATTGATCTACATGAACATGCATGTGACCGATTTTTGTGGAACCGCATGTGTGTATTTTAATTTCATAGGCATTTAACACAGGTTGCGTAATTTTTTTTTATGAAAAAGTTATAAATTTAGTTTTATTAATATTTAGTGTAAATAGATTAGAAGACAGATACTGTGTTAATAGCTTCAAGGCATGCTCAACGGTTTTTCTAATATCTTTCCAGGTATTGCCGTGGATTATTAAGATAGTGTCATCTGCATAGGTTAATATTTTGCAGTTTGGGAAAGACATCTTACACAGGGTCATTGATGTAAATTAAAAACAAGGTAGGACCTAATATACTACCCTGCGGTATAACACAGTGCAAATAATCGTATTCACTACAAACATTATCTGTTTTTACACATTGGCTGTGGTTACTGAGGTAGTCTTTAAATATTTCCAAAGCTATGCCTCTTACTCCTATTCTTACCATTTTGTCAAATAAGACTGGAACTGAGACTGTGTCAAAAGCCTTTGAAAGATCTAGAAAGACCACTATGCATTTGGACTTTTTGTCCAAGTTCCTAATAACCGTTTCAGTAAAAGTTATTACAGCATCTTCTGTTGATTTTCCAGAACGAAAGCCAAATTGATTATCAGCTATTAAGGTATATTTTTCGAGAAAATTCACAAGACATGAATTAAGCACTTTTTCTAATATTTTAGAAAAAACCGAAAGCACAGATATTGGCCTGTAGTTGCTTACAATATCCCGTTTACCTCCCTTATAGACTGGATGAACCAGTGCCCTCTTAAGGTCAGGCAATTTGCCCGTTTGAATTGACAGGTTACATATATAGGTCATAAGGACATAAGGGGGGTAAAAGTACTTTTACAAGCCTTAATGATCGATGTAGGAATACCATCACATCCTGTAGCACTGTCAGAACGAAGTCTATTAATAATTCTGTCAACATCATCATATTGTACTTCGTGTAAAACTAAAGAAAAAGGAAAGAAAGAGTTTTGTTCTTCTGAAAGGAAATAAGGACTACAATTAATTTCAGCAACGAGATTATGTCAATACCTACAAGATGGCAACAAGTTATCGAACAAAATGTCCCATATATATTATACTTAAAAAATAATCTTTATAAATTACACCGCTAAAATAAAACAAGTGGATATATTGATATTGTATACAACTTTAATTTTTTGTCATAAAAGTTTTTGATTTGAAAAGCAGTATAATTTTATAGCAAAATTTGTTCATATTGTTTAATTCACATATATCTTAGTATTTCATAATGCATGCTATAAAATAAAAACAAGTTTTTTCCTAGTTAGTATAAAATATGTCAATAACAGAAACCAGAGGTTTTTATAATAAACTATTCACAGCATTTGAAGAAATGAAAACTTGTGCATAATTCAAACCGGTACAATGTGGATGTGCTTGAAGGGAAGACCCTTTGGAAAATTCATATTTTTTTTTATAGAAGAGGGGCCAAACGAACATACAGTTCACCTGATGTTAAGAGGGAGGATATTCAATTTGTATCAAAAACTTCATGTTTTAGGGTTTTTTCAAGGGCGATATAGTAACAATGTGAGCAGATTATTTGCAGAAAATTACAGCTTTAGAAGGATGAAGTCTATATTTAGTGCAATGCAATGGAAAATCATAGTTTTTGATGATGTTTTTTACAGTGTAGACAATCCCTACATAGCATTTTACCAAAATATGCGTCAGCGTTAACCATTATTTTAAGTTAAAATACTTTATTTTAAGCGTTATTATAATAGAATATATAGTCTTTTAGTTCATAGCAAAGCCTAAATAACGAAAATATTTGATTTAATATTAAAAAACGATACTATAAAGTCACCAAAACTGTCCACTTCAATCTAATTCTTTTCCATGTATTGGGATATACTTTTATCTATTTTAATTATTTTATCAAAATACAGGTAATGTAAAATATCCCAAAAATTTTGAGCTCGTTTTATTAAGTCAATTATTTTATATGATTATTTTAATGTAGTGTATAGACAATCGTCTAATGAGTCATCGCTACTAGTGTATAAATACCCCCCACTTTGGGAACATCGGGCAGTTGGATTGTAACCGGCGAGCAGACAACATCTCTGTTAACACGTATAACTGTTAGGTGTGTACCGTGTAAAGTGAAGTGTGTTAGTGACATTGTGTAATAAGTGATACCGTGTACATTGTACAAAACAAAGCAACGTATTGTATATTGGCGACGAGGAAAAAATACTGTAAGTAATTGCAAATGTTTTTAAATAAACTGGAAAAGCTTTATGTAAGGATTTGATGTATTCTCTTTTAAAAGATAGGTTATAATGCGGAGCCTAAAGTTGGAAACAATTAGCAATAGCAGTTTAATTGTTTATGCCGTGATTTATCTTTGTTAAAATTAAATGGACACCCCAATGAGATGGTCCAGGAGCAATGGACACTTATTGGTGACTGTCAAGTTTTACTAAAGTGAAGGTCCAGTCATGGACATGCTTTAGGTCCCAGAAAATGGTTTAAATTATTAAAGGCTGAATTGTCGTGATTTATCTTTGTTAAAATCAAATGGACACCCAATGATACGGTCCAGGAGCATGGACACTTATTGGTGACCGTCCAAGTTTTACTAAAGTGAAGGTCCAGTCATGGACATGCTTTAGGTACCAGAAAATGGTTTAAATTATTAAAGGCTGAATTGTCGTGATTTATCTTTGTTAAAATCAAATGGACCCCCAGTCCACGGTCCAGGAGCGTGGACACTTATTGGTGACAATACAAGTTTTACTAAAGCGAGGTCCAGTAATGGACATGCTTTAGGTACCAGAAAATGGTTTAAATTGTCAAAGGCTGAGATGTCGTGAGAATGTAATTGCGTGGCGGTCTAATAATAGACACACGTAATTAAAAGATATTGGTCACTGTTTTAATTGTAATGCTGCATGCTTCGAAATTTTCCCGTTTTATTAGAAAAGGTAACAATATATGGGTTATTATCTGCTTGTATATTTCCTTTCTTGCGGATTTAAAAAAAAAGATGTCGTCACTACCCCCACTAGAATCATTTGATTGTGATGGGGATTCTCATGGTGTTGGCGCAAAATGGGAGAAGTGGAAGCGAGGATTGGACATTTATCTAGAAGCTGCAAATATTGAACTACCCGCAAAAAAAAAAGAGCTACATTACACATGGGTGGCCTTAGTCTCCAAGAAATATACTATAATATACCAGGAGCCCATGTTAGCAGTATAGATGATCCAACGAAGGATGTTTATGTTATAGCTATTGAAAAGTTAGACGAGTACTTTGCTCCAAAGCAAAGTATATGAGAGTTTAACAGACTGTGAAAAGCGTTTCTGCCAAACTGAAAAGGAAGCGCTAGCCTTAGTATGGGTTGTAGAACATTTTCGAATATATCTTTATGGTAAAAATGAGTTTGAACTGATAAGTGATCATAAATCATTAGAAATTATTTTCGGATCGAAAAATGGGTTCTTCGATTGCAAGCCTATAATTACAAAATAGTGTACCAACCAGGTAAATCGAATATAGCTGACCCCCTTTCAAGACTTTGTACTTCTAAACATAATTCAGTGAAACAATACGTAATTTTGATGAGGAACATATCAGGCATATAATTGAATACTCAAGACCCGTAGCCGTATCACTCAACGATATTGAACAATTTTCCAAGCAGGATTCCGAAATCTCTAAAGTAAGGCAAGGCTTATACTCGTATAACTGGGATCCTACCATCGCAAATTATAAAGTATTTGAATCGGAGCCTGAAAAATTAAGACGGCGAGTATTGCAAGCCGCCCACAAGGGTCACCCTGGTATTGTTTGTATGAAACAAAGATTACGGACAAAAGTATGGTGGCCTAAAATTGACAAAGACGCAGAAACAATCTTAAGAAACTGTAAAAGTTGCACATTAGTATCCGCACCAAATCCACCTAATCCAATGAAGCATCGTGAACTACCGGTCAAACCATGGATTGATGTAGCTATCGATTTAATGAGACCTTTACCCTCTGGAGATTTCCTGTTAGTTATCGTTGATTATTACAGTCGTTATAAGGAAGTAAAAGTGACAAAAAGTGTAACTTCACATGATATTATTAGGTTATTAAAAGAGATATTTTCACGGTTTGGTTATCCAGTTACCATCACTGCAGATAATGGCAGGCAATTTGTTAGTCAAGAGTTTAAAAATTACCTGCAGGAATGTGGTATAACTCTTCACAACACAATACCATATTGACCCCAACAGAATGGAGAAGTGGAAAGACAAAACCGAAGTATCCTAAAACGTTTAAAAATCAGTCAGGTTGAAAGAAAAAATTGGAAAGAAGATTTATTATACTATCTGATGATGTACAATAGCACACCCCACTCAGTAACTGGTAAAACTCCATCCGAACTATTCTAAAAACTACAATTTCGGGATAAAATTCCATCATACATAGATATTGAAAATAAACAAGTAGATTCAGAAGTTAGAGACAGAGACGCGTTACAAAAAGAAGGAGGAAAAACTTACAGTAACCACAAGAGAAAGGCAAAAGGCCACAACATAAATGAAGGCGATAAGGTAGTTGTAAAAAATTTCGCCAAAGAAAATAAGCTTACACCAAGCTTTTCTCCAGCTATACATACTGTTGTAAAAACTACTAACAACACTGGAGATGTAGTGATTCGCAATAATGATACAAATGAACAGTATCGACGAAATGTGGTTCACTTAAAAAAATTTGAAGGAGAGTGAAGAGTAGTTAATGATGAACAAGAAGAAAGTTCACCCAATTTGCATAAAGAAGTAATAGAGAATAACACTTATGAAATTAGGATGATTATTGAAGACTAATTTAAACTATTTTTGTAACAGAAAAATCAACTATTGATCATGCAGGGAAACAGAAATAAAAAATATTAAGAAAAAGGAAGAGATGTAGTGTATAGACAATCGTCTAATGAGTCATCGCTACTAGTGTATAAATACCCCCCCGCTTTGGGAACATCGGGCAGTTGGATTGTAACCGGCGAGCAGACAACATCTCTGTTAACATGTATAACCGTTAGGTGTGTACCGTGTAAAGTGAAGTGTGTTAGTGACATTGTGTAATAAGTGATACCGTGTACATTGTACAAAACAAAGCAATGTATTGTATATTTAAAAATACTATAAATCATCATGTGCAGACGCCGTCTGATTCAGTACGCTTCGGGTCCTCCCAACGACAGGATGTATCACTTTTTCCCGCCACCGCCCGCGTACATGTTAATTCACACAGATAGCCTAAGCTAGTGTTGCCAAGTGTCCAGATTTGTGCGGGACTTCCCGATTTTTAGGGATACGCCCCGATTCACCCTCAATTGGCACGCAAAATGTCCCGAATTTTCATTAACCTCCCTAGTCTATATTTCGATTGATCATTTTGACAGCTTTATGCTGCTACTACATTAAAATACTTTTGCTTTGCTTATTTTCCCACCAAACTCTGACTAAATAGGCAACATCAAAGTTTGCTTTGCGTGTAATGTGTTGGCGTGGCAAGATACAGATATCAATCATGTTTACTCTTTTTTTTTCTCACTGCCTCATGTCTATAGCCGTGTTGCGCTATGCATCAATGTCGTTAATTCAGTGGTCATTTATTATTTCATTATATTACTAGTAATCAGTACAGTATCTTACAAGTATCTATTTAGTAAAATGCAAAAGGATTGTGGAAAATTTCTTCCACTAGTCAATTTCTTCAATTGTTTGTAGGTACAGTTGTTTTCAATAAATAAAGTAACATTATACATCCCATGCAAGGATTTTATCTAGGTTTCAAGGTGTGAGGTAACCCTTTGAATTATGCCATTTTTAAAGGGCTTTTTAAAGTACATTAGTGTGAGTTAATAAGATTAATTATTTTAACAATAATATTATTTAGAAAGTTCAGAGTCTGCAACAATGTTTGGAGAAAAAATTATTCATTCATTTGATCAGTTCTAAATAATATTTGTAAAACACATTGCGAATTGTGTCAAAAATACCAGTATTTTTAGCTTTTAAAACAAAATTCCCAATTTTACCTGGCCACACTATTGGAAACTATGAAGATGCAAATACAGAATAAATAATAGCATGCGCAACACAACACTTACTTTGATACTTTGTTAAATGATATAATTTAATTTAGTTATTAATAATTTTATAAGTTTATTTAACAGTAAGCAATATAACTAAAACTAAACTAAAATATTTATCACTATAAAAGATATATTAGACGGCTTCATGGCGGAGTGGCTTTAGCGATGAGTTTAACTCTAAGGACCACGGGTTTATTTCCCACACGGAACAAAAATTTGTAGGAATACAAATTTTTTTGTAGGAATACAAATTTTTGTTCCGTGTGGGAAATAAACCCGTGGTCCTTAGAGTTAAACTCATCGCTAAAGCCACTCCGCCATGAAGCCGTCTAATATATCTTTTATAGTGATAAATATTTTAGTTTAGTTTTAGTTATATTGCTTACTGTTAAATAAACTTATAAACAACCTGGGTATAAACTCTGCAGACACCAATGAAATTATTTCGATGAATTATCTTTACATTATGAAACATAATAAACGTATATCAAATCTATTTCTTACAATACATATTTTTCAATTCGGACATATATCACTTACTACTTTCTAGGTTGTTAACCTGGCGTTGTAACATTCCATAGTCTATTCAATAGAATAAAAAAGAAAAGATGACTTCAAATTACTAAAAGAATGAAATAATTTATACATATTAGCTTCCGATATCAGGGCTAGAATGGATATTAATTCTTATATACACTATGACTTAGCACCGACCTCATAAGCTATTATGTGGAAATTATTTTATCCTTTTAGTTCCAATAGTACCAAGATGATTCGTGCCAGCTATCACTGTGGTCGCTCCACCTCTAGCAGTCACGCACACAGAGAACATTATAGTGTTCGTCAATATTACGCCGTTCCAGAGTGATTTTGACTTGCGAATATTTGAATATATGCTCTTAAGTGACTACTGCCACCCATGAACAACCGCAACACCAAGGGAATTGCAGGTACATATGATCATAAGTTAAAAAGTTTGAAACCTTTGATAATATATATATATATATATATACTCACATTAGAAGAGTATATACTCAGAATTATTGTTTCAGTTAGATATAAAATTCCTGGCGTAACAATATTTTAAGTAATAAAATTCTGCTCATAGCAGTTGAAAATTGAGTAGGTTTAAGTTGTACTCGATGATTCCACTCCATCTTATGGAGCTATTTATAACTATGTAGTATTCATAATAAAATAAAAAGATCAATTAAAATTTCATTTCGTAGTAATAGTGACAGCTAATTAAATAAATTAAAAATATTTATGTCTGAATGTTAATCCTACACCGGTATGTTTTTAAACATATCGACACTAGTAATGTTAAAACAATTAAAAAAAATTAAAAATCATGAAATTATGGTTAAACAACAAACAAGCCAAACGACCGTTACAGATCAAACTGCCGCCAAGATTACTTACCCTTATATCAGCCATCTTGTGTATTGTACATATACTATTAGTACAATTACCGATACGTGTAATATTTCTTAGGAGTGAATTACTAATATAATTAATAATTCTGGGTTTTGTAAAACCACATTTTTCTGTCGCAAGCTGAAATTAGCGGACGCGACGAAATAACTTATTTGACAAATTGTTTGACAAAGCAAAGACGCCGCGAAATAGACAACAACAAATAACACTATTCTCTCTCGTCTCTATTATTATTTATACACAGAATAGTGTCTATGATTATTCTACTGTCTACGGTAGTACGGTATTTGAAAATAACAATTTTATTGGGTGCGTTTGGCAGAAAAAAGCGCTAGCAAGCGCTTATAAGCGCTAAAATAGTTTTCGGCCAGGACACGATTGCTACTTCAGTAGCGCTGACACAATCCGCCATTTTGCTTATTTAATTTGTTTGTTTTGAAGTAGAGTTTATATAAGTTGTTTTGTGCAATATTAGTTTTAAGTAATATAATGAGATGAATAAACATATACATGCTATTAAAAACTCATGATTGGTAAGTTTTTAATATGAATACTTTACAAACATATATTTAAATTAGGTTAGATTCCCAGGTTAAAACTAACATCGTGTCCTGGAGGAAAATAGCTACTTACGATTTGACAGCGCTTACCGCTTACGATCGCCATTTTGCTTACAAGCGCTTGCTAGCGCTTTTTTCTGCCAAACGCACCCAATAACATTGAGCTATTATGTACTACGTACTAGAGGAGACACTGCATTCAGCTACTCTGTTCCACTCAACTGCGGTGCATGTACCGCACTTTAATCAGTCACTCGCTAGGCGCTTGTAGAGTTGTCACGTGTTGTGTTGATTTAAAAAAAATCTCTTGATAAAAATATGCCATCTTGTGTACTTAGATATTGCACAAATAATTCAAGAAATGTCGGTAAAAACCAAGGAATTACTTTTCATCGGTTAATAAGATACTTAATCAATAAAAAAGTATTATAAATTAATAATAAAACAAATTATATAATATAATATTATGTAATATTATATTAAATAAACAAATATAATATGCAAAATAAATGACAAAATTTAAATATTGTTCTCGAAATAATTTAGCTATTTAACAATACAATCTACTATTACCAAATATAATATACAAAATAAATGACAAAATTTAAATATTGTTTACGAAATAATTTAGCTATTTAACAATACATTCTACTAAAATGACAAAATTTAAATATTGTTCTCGAAATAATTTAGCTATTTAACAATACAATCTACTATTACCAAATATAATATACAAAATAAATGACAAAATTTAAATATTGTTTACGAAATAATTTAGCTATTTAACAATACATTCTACTATTACCTACGGATCATTCTACCTATGTTTATTCTATGATAAAAAACCAAATGCGCGAACACAGAGTAGCGCACATTTTTTGTTTGAGATAGCTGTTCTAGTACGTAAGTACATATTACTTCAATGTTTAATAATAATAATTTTGAATGCCGAGCCAGTGCGTCTAATGATTAGCGTGGCCTCGAGTGAGAAAGGACGATAACGTAGTTTTAGGTTATAAAATAATCTTTATGACTTTTAAACATATTTAGATGTTAAGCTAACAAAATACTTTTTTCTCACTTAAATCAACTTAGTTATGCAACCACAAGACCATAGGGATGTTACGGTTCGTACTTAGAGGGGGCTGCATAAGCATTAGACAGTATCCAGTAACTGTAGTCAGCGCTTTTGGTTGCGTGAGGTATCAGGCAGAACTCGTGGGAGCGGCCACTTCATTTTAACATCGACTTCTGTCAAGACGTATTAATTAAGTAGTTATAATTATAATTGTATTAAGAAATAAAATAGATTTTAAATAGTTTTTAAAAAATCATTTTACGTTCCCGTAATCTTGACTGGCGCAGCCGGTAGGATCGCCACACTTCGGTAGTGTTGCGTCCTTCGCGAGTTCGATATAAAACTCTGTTGTAATCGGAGGTCCGCGGCGCGAAGAAAAACCGAGACGATCCTCGAACCAAAGAAATTTGCCAAGGAAGCGGAGCTGATCCTGAACCATGAGAGCAGCTGGCGGCTGGTGAGTAGAACTTTTCACCATCCTTTCCACTACCTCGGAGTTCTGTTATCTTGAGATCGAACATCTCTCATTTTAACGTATTCTGGTTAAATAGTTTGTAGCAGCCAGATTAATCAAACCTAAACGGGAATAAATAATATATACTCCGCTGCTACCATAACGCGGAAGGCGAGAATAAATAAAAAAACATTTTATTTCCTAATTATTCTTGGCTACTGAGATACTGCGGACTGTATATAGATAATTTGACGTTCTTATAAAGAAACAAGAAGCCGCCGCAAATATCATTCAGCGCCACACCGACTTCACACGCCGCTATCGTCACGTATCCGTCGACCAATGGTGAGCCGTTTCTTCAACGCCGCAGTTCGTTTCCTCTTGCTGTTCCGGAGCTGTATTCCACACCGCCGCCGCCCGCCGACTACGCGTGCGCACCGATCTGCATGTCTTATATAGCCCGGTCCAGCGACGTAGCTTCGTGAACAACAAACAAGTCTCACGCCGGGAAACGAAACGTAGATAATTGTATATTTTAAATAGTTTTCATTGGTCATAAAATAAGCAATATAATTGGCTAGGCAAAATATTAATTGTTACCATTGGCAAATCAATAGTGAGCCAGCCATATAAATATAGGCAAGGTTGATGCAAAATATATTCCATTCCGAATCCCATTCGACAGTACATTCATAAACATAAACAGTAGTTTCATTTCTCCACCTTAAAGAAAACCACTCGGAGTCTGTTAATAGGGGACAGCTCGTCTCCACTATTATAAGTTTAAAAATTAAATAAATAATTGTATGTAACAAATAATTTAAGTTTTACCTATTTTCATAATTTACAAATTATGTACAAATTTTAGTTTTACAAAGAAATAGTTTTATTAAGCATATACATTTTATTTTTAAATAATTTTGTGTGATATTTAGATTTCTTTCACATTTTATTTTATTTTTATTGTTTGTGTGTGTATAAATTAATACATAATTATGGAGAATATCAGACAGGTGAAATGATTAAAATCATCCCTATGTTTGATGGAGATAAACGTCATTTAAATCTATTTTTAAGAAAGTGTGAATATGTTATAGCTAAATTTAATGGCATGACGGAACAGAATTTGTACGTGATGAATACAATAACAAGCCGCCTTATCGGCAATACAGCTGCATTAGTCGGTGAGCGCGATGATATCGAAACGTGGGATGAGTTTAAGCAATTATTAGGACAGCATTTTGGAGACTCACGAAGTGAGGAGTGTTTAAATATCGAACTTGAGATATTAAGAATTAAACCCGGGGAAAGTTATTTAGATTTTTGCTGTCGATTTCAATCGTTGAGATCAATTTTAATAGGCAAAGTTAATCGGTTGTCGGACTCAAATATGCGCTGTAGTAAAAAGGCGATTTATGACAATACATCATTAAACGTTTTTCTGTATAATTTACCGGAACATTTAGTTAGAGTAGTACGTCTCAAGGCTCCAAATTCGTTAGAGGATGCACTCTCAACTGTATTAGAAGAAGTTAACTTCCATAGTCAGTACCAAATGAGAAACAAAATATCTGGATCTAATCCCGCATCTCATTCACAATCGCATAACGCATCGCCATCATTTAAATTCGGTAATAATAACACTCAACCCCAACATTTTTCTAGTTTTAAGCCCATGCCAATGAACCAACCACCTAAATATAATTTTGGCATCCCACCGTATAAGCAGGTGCAGATGCCGCTTTCCACTCAAGGTCAGTAGCGACTATTTAACAATTTCGGGAATTATTATCGACCACCACAACCTAATAACAACCAAATGCAATTCGGATATCGTCCACCTCCATTTGGCTATAGACCTGTAGGCCTTCAGCCTTTGCCTTCGATGCGTCCTCAACAGTTCGGTATGCAACAGCGATACAATAATAATAGTAATGCCCCTCAGCATAACCAACCGCCAATTAACACAGATGTGTCGATGCGCACAGTACCTGTAGCACGATCGCAGCAAGGTTTTAGGTTAAATGAATTAGAATTAAACGAGAATGATTATAACGACGACATGTATTACTACGAAAACCCACACTATTTCGATCAATATCCTAATGACTCTTCTTACTATTACCCCTAATGTCAATCTGAAGATACTGTAAGCGCGGAAACTGAGACCAACGCGGCAGATACAAATGACATTAAGACGACGGAAAATATTGAAAATTTTCACATATACGCCTCAACCAAACCCCCGAAACCATAGAACTAAATTGTGGCTCTAATTTAAAATAAACGCAAAGCATATCAATATTTTAAAAACGAAATTTTTAATGATCCCTTCGAGGTTATTAGTACACATGCTACAAGTAGCCATAATCAGGTCATAGTTATTCAGCTACTACCCACATTTAAAAGCCCCGAATATCATAAGTTCTATATATATATAATGTAGATTCGCGTTATGATGGCCTCATAGGTAATGACTTATTAAAACAATTCGAGGCTGTCTTCGATTTAAAGCATCATATACTTTCGACAAAATTTACAAATATCCCTATTATACATAATTTCGAAAATCACATTTTTATTTTACCTCCTAGATCGGAATTACGTGTTAAACTACCAACCGATGTACATTCAGGCGAAGCCATATTAAATTATAAGCAGTTTTTTGAAGGTGTTAGAATGCCAAGTGCTATTGTGACTTGCAATAACGGATATGCTTCAACAGTTATCCAAAATACTCTCGAACAAGAAATGACCCTGAACGTGACACAACCTTTCCAAACTGAGACTTTTAATGACAGTGAGAAAACCCTAGTCAATGCTCTTGTAGATAAAACTGATACCGACATTAACCAACTCCTGTTACAAAATTTAGGTAAATTAAGACTAGAACACATGAATGAGGAAG